AAATATATATATAAGATTTTATTATATCGAAATAAAAAAGATTAGTTTGATTGCTCACAAAAATACAAACTATGATCATCTACATTTACGAAAAGCATCTTTAAAAAATATCCCAGCTAATATGATATCCTATCTGTTATATCCTAGTGAAGAAATAAGTACGGGTAACTTCCGGGACCTATTAATGGACGATTATCCCATATATATTCTTATTGTTTAACTATTCAGTGATTAGATTTAATCTTTATATATATATATTCGTCTTATTATAAGCTTCATTTTGACTTATGGATTATTATTATACGAATTACTGTTCCTAAACTATACTCAGTTTATTGATTACTGTTTCTCACTTTCACGGCCACATCTGGTTTGATCTTGTACAAATATTATTTTCTATTTTAAGGTGTGATGCAATCTGCCTGTCTGGTGTATAAACCGAGTATACTTGAAATAAATGATTCGCATAATAGAAGCTGTCATTGGTGCACACTGCTGAGGAGTCCCACAATAGGACGAAACCGCCGTCCAGTGCTTCCAGGTTTTCCATGGTGGTCTAGCTTCAATTGACTCATAATTTCAACCATAAAATTACTGAAATCTCCACGAAAACCCCTTCTGATAGAAAATTTAGGTAAGGAATTATGTTCCTTAAATGTTTTAAGCCTAAAATATATTTAGTAGGAAGAAAAGAATGATGAATATGTTGTAAGATTGATACTAGTGTAGTGAACAAGAACACGGATGGGGACAATCGAATGTAATTGACACGACAATTACAGACTATTTCAGTAAAATCTGACAACTATACAATAAACAGTTAATTTGCGAACTATCAATCAATTGTCTCAATCTTGACCATTCCTTTTGCAAATATTAGTCCATAGTCTCCGATTATTATTGTTCATACATTTTCATACCAATTGCATTTCATTTCCATTCTTTTCTTATCGATCTTCTACTGAAATACGTCCAAATGCCCGACCATCGTTAAATACTATTTATGTGGATATAAGTAACCCACACCACACTAGTACTTTAAATATTTTCTTTGAATATAAACATTCTCCATTAAATTGATGGTTTATTATTAGTAGTATAATGTGAACACATTATTCGATCATAGATCAATATTACCATTGGTTAACTATCTATTTAACTGTCTAGTAATTACCATTGAAGTCTAGAAAGTTTTCTTTTCTAGTAATGAAAATGTTATGATTGACAACCATAATTGAGCATTTAAAGCAATGAATAATGAATTTATGTTTAATTGATAATATAATAGGATGAAAATAAATCCATATGATAAGTAACAAGTAATATAAATTAAGTCTATTAGCTTCCATTATTTGATTTCATTCAAGATCGTCATTATTATTATTATTATTATTATTATTATTATTATTATTATTATTATTATTATCAGGGTGTTTACATTAATAATTGAGGATTGTCTAGACTACATTTTCCTTAAATTTATTGATCATAATTATTCTTATTTATGTTCAGTTTACTTATATAATTAAAAACTTTTATTGGTTTATACTAATTTCCTTGAACATGGGAAATTAAAAAAAGAAAGATAAATATGTAAACTATCAATGAGAAGATTCAAACAAACAATACCAAATGGATTGAAACTTCACCCCATTGCACAAGCAAGTGGCTACCAGGACTCAGTAGCTGAGTGGATAACGCGATGGCGTTAGAAGCGAAAGGTAATGGGTGCCAGTTCTAAAGTAAACATCAACTCTAAGATGCGGGTACATCCAGCTGACGAGTTCCAAATAGGACGAAACGCGCGTCCTGGATTCCCTTGCTAGCCACTATTCATTTTTGCTTATTAGTATATTTAGAATAACTAAAAAGATGTATACAACAAGTTCTTTTGAAAGTCAAAATAAGATATGAATAGTAGCAAAACTATCAGAAGAGGTACAAAAAGATTTCTTTTTGCATAATTTTATAAGCAATGTTATATGTTATATATTAAAAAGTTTGAGTTTTTCATTGCTTATATTAAGGTCTTCATTAGATTAGTTTTCACTAGAATATATGTAAATTGAATAGATTGTCTTAAGTTACATGTTTTAGTAACGTTAAAATTGTAGCTAACAGTGAAATCCAGAATACATGTTTTGTTTTATTCGAAACTTTTCAATGGAATGTAACTGCGTTTAGTGATAATATTCAACAGAAGAGTCATATCAAGTATTTTTCTCTGCAAACGTCAAGAGTTAAGATCGCCGCAAACTTTCTCAGGGGTTATGAAGTTATATACCTAACTTTTCTAAAACTTGTTACCAATAGCAATATTGAGGCAATCCATTCGGAATGAATATACATCAGTAAAAACAAATTAGATGTAATTCTAAATAGTAATGACAGTCTGTTACTTTATCACTAAGTCATTTGCGCTAGATTTGACCTATTGCGGTACTGAAATATTTATATTTCATTGATCACAGTTTGATTCGTCTGGTACTTTATGTCTAATCGAATTCCATTCCAGGTACACAATGATGATCTACAATCTAACTATTGGGTTTCCTGTTGATTACCTCAAACCACCCAATATAAAAAATATTGCACGCGATATCGAGTCATTTAGACTCCTAGATGATTTGTAAATTAATATATTAAATTTGATTAACAGCGCTTAAAGACAAGAAAAATATTATATCGATCACTACTTTGTGACTAATCCGTTGTGAGGCATCTATATCTTATCAACTGTATAACCAAGTTGAATAATCTACAATCGATGTAAATTTGTATTAGTACTCTTTTCGGTATAGTTAGAGAGATAATGCAAACAACTATTCTTTGAAACACTTTTCATTAGTTAAAAATCGCTTATTCAGAAATGTAAAACAAAAGACAGTAAATAACTGAAAACAACTAATGTTTATGTTACAAACTATGTATGTATGTTATGAATTCAGCTTTCAACTATCTAAATTTCTCCTTAAATGAAAGCTCCAATTCTGTTTATCTCACTGAAAAAGAACACTACTATTTCTAAAATGTACTGTAGTGTGTGCAACTGATGTCAACAGATGTAAGTAGTATGAACACCAGTTGAAAAATGGAATGTCTGGCGGCAAAAGGTTAATAAGATCGAAGGAAAGAGAACGAGAACAGAAAATGATCGATGTAGAAACGAAAGAACAATGAAGTCTGAGACGATTGATTGACAGGCAGTCAGTCACAACGTGGAACTTCGTACGTACGTACATCGGTTCTAGTTGCCATACCACACTAACGCAGAGATGCAGTTGTCGATTCAAATTCCATAGTGATAGAAGTAGTAAGAGTATAAACAGTAATCCGAAAAATTAGGGTTCGATGTTATTGAAGGAGTATAATACAGTAAAATAAATTTGAAGAGGAAAAAAGATGGAGACCTGAAGAATTCAGAAGATTAGAATTTGGCAGGACGCAATGAGTGGATGCACCTTCGCCATTGCAAACGATTTTGGGCCATATCATTCAAAGTCTCTAACTATCGGTTGTTATCATCTCGCGGATCCCAACCAGGTAGTCTACACCTACCAACATGGCTCAGTTCACTTGCCAGTGACTTCATGGATTTGTGCCATGTTTTGGTCTGGCCGCCCCTAGCTTTCTTCCAACCTACTCCTACACCATAAAGCATTGCACGTCGGGGCAGTCGGTGTTTGGGCATACGTAACACATGTCCCAGCCATCTCAACTGATCAAGTTTCACTACTTTATCAATCGATTTGCCATCCTAACCTAGTACCCGTTTCCTAACAACTGCATTACTTACCCGGTGGTCCCAGGATATACGAGCAATGCTTCGAAAACACCTATGATCGAACACTAGTAGCCTACGAATATCCTCTACTCTTATCAGACATTTAGAAGGAACAGGCAAGTTTGAAATAATTGATTGAAACTTTGCGAATGAAGTATTTACTGTATAGTTCTCAAATTTTACTAAGACGTTCGGTTCTTTTAAGTATGGCTCGTCAACAAACTCAAGGAAGCCTCAAGAAGCCCAGAAAGAGCCGAAAACGTTCCATCCAACATTATAGAACTTCGTTGTATAGCTTCCCTATCGGATGAATAAGAAGGACTCCCTATGTGCCTATTGGCTGTCCGAAATGATGATTTACTTTCAGCCAAAAAAACTATAAATACATGAGATTTTCGTACTATATTTGACACTGTTTAGGAAATAAAATTCCTACTGAATAGTCTTCTGTCTTCTCTCTTGCGACTTTATGGGTTCGGTCGTTCAAGTAGTCTTGTAGTACGCGGCATAGCAAAAATCAAAGCTCTAGATATAACAGTTATGTTGTTGTTAAATACATTCGACTGTTTCCAATCGTGTTCTTGTTCACTACAATATATGTTATTAGTAGATAAATTTAGGCATGAGAATCTAAATTAAAATACATAGTTAAATATTCATTACTGTTATCCATAAACCGTTAGATTTCAAACAATCATAAATGAAAGTATATACATGTCACTATGATACTGAAATTGATTAATTAATATTTACTTACGCCTGTTACTCACAATGGAGCAAAGGCCGCCGACCATCATTCTCCAACCCACTCTATCCTGAGCCTTCCTCTCTAGTTCTATCCAATTGTTGTTCATTCTTCTCATGTCTGTCTCTATTTCTTGACGTAATGTGTTCTTTGATCTTTCTCTTCTCTTTTGGCCTTCAGGTTTCCATGTGAGTGCTTGTCTTGTGACACAGTTGGGTGACTTCCTCAAATAATTAATCAATTTCAATTGCTTAATTTTATACCTTAAATATATATTTATATAAACAATTATGGCCAATTATTATTTTATATTATTAATTTATATGATTGGTTTATTTAACAGAAAAAATGCAAAAAAAATTAAAACAAAAAAAACTGGCAATGGATTATAAAAATAATTACCCTTTTCAGTAGTTTGTTACTTTATAGATAATTTAAATTTAGTTCAAAGTATTACTATTATTATTATTATTATTATTATTATTATTATTAATGTATGGTTTAATAGTAATCGGTATACAAAATTATGTTGAATCCGTTTATGGTGAAAATGTATGGCTTAGAATATTAGAAAAATCTAATACAGGTTTATTAACATTTCAAACACATAATATTTATTCAGATACAGTACCGGAACGTTTATTTTTAGCATTTAGTAATGAAACTGGTGAAACTATTGAAAATGTCACCTATGAAACTGGTTTATCATTTGCTAAATTTATATCTGATTATGGTTATGGTAATTTATTACGTGTACAAGGAAGAGATTTTATTAGTTTTTTACATAATTTAGATAATTTACATGAATATTTACGTTTATCATATCCTGATATACAACCACCATCATTTTCTGTTATTCAGATTACAAATGATTGTATACGTTTAAAGTATTCCTCAAGACGTAATGGTTATACACATTATGTTCGGGGACAATTAATAACATTAGCTAAACGTTTATATAATCTTGATATTAATGTTCTATTCATTGATAAGAAAATTATTAATAATGTTTATGAAACTATATATGATATTTATGCATTAAATGGTAAATGTTGGATTGATCCCCATAATTATGATATACAAAAACCATTAGATATATGGGGTAATACAATATCGAGTAATGTATTTTTTGATATATTTGCTTTTTCATTATTAATCACAAATCAAATGAAAATTAAACGTGTTAGTACATCATTTCGGAAATTAGATTCATCTCTTGAAGGTTCAGATTTTAATGAAAAATTTTTATTATTTAAACCATTTATTAAATCAAATATAGAGGAGGTAAGTTAAGAAAAGTTTTTTTTTGTATTATTTATGAAATGTTACTCTATGAAATATTGTTACATGATGTTATGAAATGTTATTGTTTTACACTTTAGAAGTCTGTATGTCTTTGTACTAATGTACTATCCATCAGTTACTTTGTCGTATTCCTAATTGCTAAAGTAAATATTTGTTAAGCGGGGGGATAATTGTTAAATAATGTTAACTCCTTGTTCGAATAGAAATAAACTAATAAACATCAAAATGAACGGATAGGTTATTTGTGGAATGAAATTTATCGGTAAACATAAAAGTATACAGGTTGACAACATAGTAAGAAAGTTTCAATCGATAATATGTACTTGTATTTGTTATTTCGAAAATGTTTAGTACTTTTCCAAAACTTAGTTAGGCCAAAATAAAACTTCATTATACACGTTTATCATAATAAATGTCTTTATCACATATGAAATTAATGATTTTGAAATCATACGACTTTTACATAGGCATACCGAAAATGAATTTTCAATCGGTTAGGTGCTCTGGCACGAGACTGATAGGTCATGGGTTCGAATCTCGCGAGGCGGGATCGTGGATGCGCACTACTGAGGAGTGCCACAATAGGACGAAACGGTCGTCCAGTGCTTTCAGGTTTTCCATGGTCGTCTAGCTTCGATTGACCCATGATCTCAACTTTATAAAATCCTTTTCTCATTCAACAATTACACACACACAAATAGTTATGCAGTTCTGAACTCTGATTCATATATATTCATGTAATGATCAGTATTTCTTCATTATGATCACTGGAAGTTGAAGCCTTTGTTTGTTTTTTTTTTCTAAACCTTTCACGTTTTATTTAGTAATCATATATATTTACTGTTATTCAATAGTTAGTTTTCACTTTTCTTAAATGTCATTTATTCGGTTCATCATTAAGCAATGATGAAATTATTCATTAAAGATATTTTCATAGCTCTTATTAATAAATATTGATTGACTATAAAGGAAAACATTAAATGTTCAATGTATTTTCATTATGACATTCATCGTTCAATTGTTTAAATTAAAATTAATTACGATATAACATTATTATCATATAGCCTAATATATTTATGTGGGCCGTTGAAAAAAACAAACATACAAATCACTAATTCTGTATACCGCCCTTCTTTTATATGGATAGCTAAAGTCTTATGATGGATTAGTTAACTGAAGGAGAAATTAAATCAATTAATTAAAAAATGGTTTTATTTACGAAAATTTTATTGTATTTAAAATGGCTTAACATAAGTATAATACACTTGGTATTGTTTGTTTGTATCTTCCCATAAATGTTTAGGACTGAAATTGATCAGTCTCTTATTGGCCATATGTACGTACTGTGCGTATTGCCTCAATAAAGCCTATCCATCCTTGTTTATAAGTATAATAGTCTATTGAAAAAGAGGACATGAATACATTATATAGGGTCTGAGGATTTTAAATGTCACAAATCAGTTATGTAATGGTCTGATGGTTAAAGAAAAATAGTAAGATAAGAAAAATTTATAGATTTGTAATATAAAACAAATGATTGTCCACTTGCCAAATTCGAAGTTAAAAATCTAGAAATAAGGAAAAATTAATTTTAAAAAATTAGGAGAGTGTAATAACAATTGATTAATAAATAAACAAAACTAGGTGGAGTAGTTAGGATATGGAAGAATGATAGATTTTACATTCTGGTTTAGCACTCAGAGTTCGTATTTGAAGTGCTGATTTACTATAACCTTTTAAAAGAACAAGTTTTTAATTTGTCTTACCTTTGAGTTCACTGGTTCGATGTCACAGATGATTTAAAAAAAACTAAGATGAAATGTTTAATATTTGAATTCAATTGTATAACTGAGTAACAGTATCCATATTTTATCTTCCATGAAACTAACAGATTTATAAGGGAATTGGTATGAAATGTTTCACTTTATACCCACCATTACTCCATTGACACTGTTTCCTGAATTCACTGAAATGACTAACTGCCCTTACAAAATTTCCCAACTAATTCTGATTTACCAATCAAAACTCCAGAAAAGCTAGACAGTTATGACCCTCTATCCCGTACTATTCAGACTAAAAAAATGCATATAATTACAAGCATAAGACACAAAAATGTGAATTACCGCAAACAACGAATCTCAAAATGTATATAACTAGGTCATTCAAGTCGCGAAACTGAGTAATAGAGGTAATAAATCAGTCATTGAACTTTAGGTTTCGTGGCGGTCACTTAACCTTTAAACCATTGAGTGAGTATTTAGCGTTTCAGTTTTTCAACTACAGTCAGTTAACGAAGTAGTCCCATAGTAGAATGGGTTAGCCGTCTATCGTTTTATAATTTTCAGCGGTTGTATAGCTGTTGTTAGATGATTCATCCATTGAGATTAAATCGTTGAAGCTGACTCATTGGTCTAAAGGTTTCTACTCGTGATTTGAAATTATATTGAAACTGCATTTTCTAAAGATGGGAAAATGATAACATTTTAATACTAGAATCATTGTACCCCACTTCAACTGAAGTTTAATAATGGATGAATTAGATTATGTCGGGATCATGGCTCTAGTTTACGTATCATTGTTTGAGTTCGATGGACATTCGTATATGTGTCTTTGCTTTGTGTACATTATATTTCTATCTATCAACTAAACTGTCTTATTCATTTCAGTATTTTTATTTCTATAGTAGGTTTGTTTAACCGTTGAAAGTTTATGTCGTTAATGAATAGGATTAGAAAACACAATACGAACGGCGTTTTTTTTCTTAATTAATAGTAAATCGAATTAAAACTCAAATAATGGTTTGTAAAATTATCTTAAATTTCGAAACCGATATGGGTTATGAATAAATCACTTCATTTCATGAATAAAAACAAAGGAAGAAAACAATACCACCCAGTATCACTTATTGAAAAGACATATTTAGATTTTTTTTTTAAATGCATAATTACTAGCCTAAATAGGAATAGAGATAATAACCAATAGAGAAGAGTGACGATGATGATGATTATGTTTATGGTATCTTATCCAAGCTATTCTCAATTTTGAGTATTATATCTTAATATCAGAATGAATGAAAGACATTTTCTGGCAAAAAACCATAATATACCTAACTACTAGTAAGTTAAAAGAAGTAAATTAACTAATAACTGAAATTTATTTTATCAGATATATTTTAGTGATAAAGCAATTAATTCTTTATATATGTCTAATGTATATTTTTTTTAAAAAAAGAAAGGCAAATCATTATACCACTGTCTTTAAAAATAAATTAATAGTATTTTAAGGATTTTGATACTACTCATAAATTTATTTAAGTAGAATAACATCATTCTACATTATTATTATTATTAAAGAGAATCAAACTGACATCATTTTCATTGAAATGATCCATCAATTTGTTTGTTTGTTTTTTGTATACAAAAGACACCTACTATCAATCTCATATTATGTAACTATTTAGAGTTTATTCTAATAAAGTAAGAAAAAAAATTTTTTCTATTTGATTGACATCTTTTCAATTAATTAAAGTAAGCTAGTTGGTATAAATAGCCCAGAGATAATCATAAAATGTTCAGTTTCACTGTAATAATTTATAAAATAAATAAATATATACCATGTGTGGTTTACTATTTGAAAGTTTACGTAAATTTATTGAAACAACTTATGGTTACAAATTTTAAATAATAACCTTGGTAACAAAAAAATATTTCAAACATATCAAACTTACAAAGATGATTTATATCTTTTCAAATAAATAAATTAAGCTCGTTGGTAAGAATAGCCCAGAGATAATCATAAAATGCTCATCACTACTATATAACTCATAAAATAAATAAATATATATATATATATATCATGTATGGTTTATTATTTGAAAGTTTACGTAAATTTATTGAAACAACATATGGTAATGAAATATGGTTACAAATTTTAAAGAATACTCTTAGCAACCAAAAAATATTTCAAACTTATCAAATCTATGATGATCATTTATATCATCAATTAATCAATAATTTATCACAATTAATTAATAAATCAATAAATGATTTATATATTGATAATGGTAAATATTTTATTCAATTTTTAATTGATTATGGTTATATTAATTTATTAAAATTTATGGGTAAAGATTTTATTAATTTTTTAAATAATTTAAATGAATTACATAAACAAATACAATATTGTTATCCATGCATTAAATCACCATTATTTACCATAATTAAAATTGAAAATGATCATTTAATATATTTATCATATTGTAGTCAACGTAATAATTTTATAAATTTTGTTAAAGGACAATTAATAAATGTAGCAAAATTAATTTATAATATAAATATAAACATTGAATTATTGAATCAACAAGATAGTGATCTATCGACATTAGGAAAATTATCACAGCCATTGTCATCGTCGACGACATCATCATCGTCGTCGTTATCATTGGCATCCTCAATGTATTTTGAAAATTATTTTAGAATTGATTGTTTAAATGGTAGATTACAAATGAAAGAATATTTACCAAATATTAAATCATTATGTATATCTAATGATATTATACAATCTAATATAAATAATAATGAATTGCATTCATTATTACCATTTTATATAATAATTAATCAAAATTTAATTATAATGAAAGTTGGTGAAGCTATTCAACATATATGTAATAATTTAATTGGATGTAATTTTAAAAAATTCTTTTTAATTAGATATCCAGTAATACATTGTACATTTGAACAGGTAATACATATCTATAAAGAGAGAATTTTGAATACAGGTTTTATATATAATATGATTCTATTGAATATTTAGTTAATGTAAAATGTATTTTGTAAAACCTTTGCCAACCTCTGTCTATCGTACTCGACCCGATCTATGGTGATTCCTCAAATAAAAAATAAGTTACTTGGTTATGCCACTTCTATGTGTATCTATGAATTCAGCTGCTCCTGTGGGGAAAGCTATATTGGGCGAACTACCAGACAACTGAACCAAAGAGTTAGTGAACACCTCCCTTCGTGGTTAGGAAAAGGTACTGTCAAGACAATACGGAGGTTAGTTCTTTCACAATTGATCGATAACGGTCATATAGTTGACAGAAATAAGTCACTTAAAGTTATTTATCGTATTCCTACTAGTTTTCCTTATGGGTTTTGATCTTGCCTCTTAAACATAGCAGAATCTATAGGAATTCGATCCAACAACCCAAGTCTTTGTGTTCATAAGAAATTTATAACACCCTTATCTCTCCTTTGGCCATAATAAATAATTTAATTTTCCATACTCTCTCTTCGTTTATTTTTCTTCAGCCCCCCCTACCAATTATTTACTTATTATTTTTTTTAATATTCGCTTTACGGTCCAATTATCTGAACACTTCTCATTAAGTAATCTTATAATTTCTGTGAATGTTATTTCAGTGTCTATAATTTTCTAATCATTGACCTATTTTCCATTATGTAACATTGATTCAAGCCTTTTATTATTCAAAAATGAACAATAGAACAATTGTTTTCAATAACTTCATCATCAGGCTCTACAGTTATAAGTCCATAATTATTATAATATTTTACAAAGTCCAAAATGAGGCATGTATTAATTAATTTGACAATGTTATATGTTAAAAATGGTAAACGTTTGCATCTGTTACGACATATATATACTTTAAAATTGTGTTATTTGTAAATTAGAAAGGTCATTTAATAAAGGTCAAAGTCATTCTTATCATAACTAGTACACCTGTCATTACACTATCAATTTGTACTTTTTATTTATTATTATTTTTAATTATGTAATCTCTTCCACTGTTATCAATGACTCATAAACTGCCTTGATTGGCTGAATTATTTCGTAAACACATCTAAATATTACTGTATATTAGAGTAAAGCCTTATGAGGATCTAATCAAAAACAATACTGTTCGCTTATATATGTTGTTCTAAATAATAATAATGTCATTTGTTATGTCCAGTCAAAGAAGGGATAGGGGGGTTACAAATTTATTATGTACACATAAATTGGGGTGAAATGTACGAATTCCTATGGCTTCTGCTATATAAAGGAGACGGGAACAAACTCGGTTGGGAAATGTTGGAGGTATACGATAGATCACTCGAAATGATTTCCATTTATCTACATTATGACCACTATCAATTAGATGTGCCAAGATAGAACTGCGTATTGTTTTTATCTGGCCCTTCCCAAACCATACTGGTAGACGTTCACTCATTCGTTGATTAAGTTACCTAGTAGTATGCCCAATATAGCTATCTCCACAGCAGCTGAACTTGTAAATGCACATAGAGGAGGCCAACTCAGGTAACTTTTCATTCTTTTGAGTAGACATGGGTGGTCGACTTGAGAAAGTCAATGCAAGATTAGCTGCGTATATAAAATATTCATGTATTTTAGAGTAAAGCCTGATGACGATCTAATTGAAAACGATTGTTCGCTTACATGTGCTATCATTTATTTGAACACATAAATATTGGTACAAGGGGGCACCAGATATATATGCGCCACACAATAAGAAATCGAAAAGAGAGGTTATGATTATTTGTTTAAAACTGCTTTAACTAATCATATATCACCTAAAATACTAAGGCTACCATCATGATTAGTGAACACGATCAAAGAAAATGAAATTATTAACGAGTCTATAAAATCTGAGACTTTAGCTATTTGTAATCCCCTTTTTTTAATGGTCAATTTTCTTTTTAACAACAACCATTTTAGAACAAATAACACTTGAATATTTGTGCTTCTATATGTTTTAATAATACTGACCATTAATGTAAGTGAATGTTTTTAGTGTACAGAAAAATTTAATTTGTAAAACGCATTCTAATTTTTAAATAATCATTAGTACTTACACTGATATGAAGCAACACGAAACGGTAAATAAAACTTATCTAAGGTAAGAAGCTGTTAGTTGGCAATAGATGTCAAGTTATTGTATACAAATATTTCTTTTGGAATCACTTCAAAATAAACCTTTCTACATTTATTTACAAAATGACATCGAATTATTATGCTTTTATAGAAAATATAATTATTATGCAATAGCTTGCTTCCATTATCACTTACTTGCGTACTTACGCCTGTCACTCACAATGGAGCATGGGCCGCCGACCAGCATTCTCTAACCCACTATGTCCTGGGCCTTCCTTTCTAGTTCTATTTAACTTTTATTCATTCTTCTCATGTCTGTCTCCATTTTTTCGGCGTAGTGTGTTCTTTGGTCTTCCTCGTTTCCTTTGGCCTTCAGGATTCAATGTGAGGGCTTGCCTTGTGATGCAGTTTGGTGCTTTCCTTAATGTGTGTCCTATCCATTGCCAGCTTCTTTCAATTATATATATATATATATATAACAAACTTTGATAATTTATAATTAATCTAAGAAAATATTGATAATCATACAAATAAGTATTTTATTAAGTCATAGATTATATATTGTTTCCAAGATCGTTTATCATCGTAATTCTGTATAAGTAAAATTAAATAACTGCTAGTCCGAGACACTATCAAAATACATTTACAATACTTAACCCCGAGTATTATGATATTTCAATGAGTGTTGTACAAATTCGGTATCTTCAAAAATTGTTAACAAACTCATTAAAAACTGTTCATATAGTTACGACCTTACCAAAAGTGAAGTCAATCACTAAGCACACCTGTGTCAGACTAAAATCTAAAAGAACCATACTAACACTGTAAAACTTATTTCAAAAGTAGATTTAGCATAATAAATAATCTTTATTTATGATTCCTTTAAGTCTACATATGAACTACTGATTTTCCATTTTGTAAACCTATTTTATTTAAGTTTAAGTTAGTTTACATCATGGGCCTAATGTACCATATGACTCACTGAAGATCCCGTAACACCTGGTAGCTAGTTCATTTTAGAGTATGATAATCTTTCTGTACATACTCAAGATATACATGACTTTCGGCTGGTCCAATACTATTTAAATGACTAAACTACTGTCCTATAGTTCAAATTACCAACTTCAGCTTATTAATAATGTTGTGAAAACACCATTCATTGCCAATTTATGATACATTTTACATACTTGACATTTCTGAGCACCTGTCATAGGTTCCTAAGTTGATGTCGTCGTGCATAACAAATAAGAAGTACGTTACCAGTAAAAGATGAATCAAAGTTTAGACCTTTCTGATGTTACTGGGAATTGATCAAATATACTCAGCAACTAAATTCGTTAAGATGCTAATATAATCTGAAATGTGCGATTATTAATCAACTAAGTTATATGCCATAATGATTGTATTTTCCCTTTTTTTAAATTAACATAATCTGGAATAGTATCTAATAAATAAAACTACAGTTATAAAGGTGATTTTCATTAAATACTAATATTAACTACAAAATCATTATACGTTAGATACCATTAAGAAGTTGTTCCATAGGAGCTCGGAAGTTCCGATTAGCAATTAGCTACCGTGTAACATCAGATTGAACCCAGGAATCTTATGAAATATCTATCTTCAAGTCGTCAATAAGTTATATCATACTATCAAACTAAGTGCTTTTAGCTATGTTTTCACTTTTTCCAGATAAAACTACATATGCATAATACATTTGAATTGGTTCTGATGAAAAATCAATGCTTGGATAGTAAGTATATCAGTCTATTGTAGATGTGATTTGTTTATTTCACTGAACAAGAAAATTCCTAAATCTTATTATTTAACCTATTTCCTAACATGATGTTGATTGTAATCTGTGATAAACTTAATACTGACCACATGATAAGATAATTGATTTATATGGTTTAGCTATAATGGTTTAGCCATAATTGTTTTTAAGTGTTGTGTCTGAAGTCAATTTTGTACTCTTTTCGGAAAAGCAGTAAAGATGTTTTAGTGGCTCTAAATCTGACTCCATTTTAGATAGTATGAATGATTGTTATTGAAATATGCATGTCGCCAATCCTAGTATATTATCATCGACTTAAATCACGTCAGTGAATAATGGAAATAAATAAGTCGATTACGAGAATGGATTTTTGAATACGTATATTTCGTACAATCGTTAATCGGAAAGCGAAGCAAAACAAGATGATGCGCAATGAGAAGGAGAGTGAGCCAGATGAATTTAATCAAGCGTGAACCAGTATTTATAGTCACACAAAAATAAGTTAAAGTCATGTAGTGAGTAAGATAGGAAACGCAAACACTTTTGCCCACATAAAACCAGTCAAGGTTGATAAGAGAATAGTTAACAAGGTTGAAATGTGACTCAAGAAGAACGAATAAGTTGGCCTGTCCGGATAGCTATGTGGGCTTGACATAGGAACCGACACTACAATTTCACTGAGCTTTGCAACAGTAAAATTTATTCATGTAGTTTAAAAGTATTGACTGATAGTGAACAAGGTTATGGTAAACATTCAACTGATCTGATAAATTTGAGAACAGGATCTCTTTAAAAACTGTTCAACCAGTATTTGTGAATAAACGTATTCTTTGGATTTTAGTCTTTAATCACTATACATGTTGTTATTCCGTTACGTAAGTAAATACAAACTACAGAAGACCATTAATGTTTAATCAAATCTCATGTGGATATTTATATACATAATTTCGAAAAGCAGAAAGCCAGGATAAAACAATTTTGAAGTAGGACTTAGTTTTCAGCAACAATTTGATTTATGTCAGTCAATTGAGAAATCTATGCCTAAATCTGAAATAAACGTATTTTTACAAAACAAAACACCATGCATTTAACACTCGGCTTATTTGCCTATCAGTATTTTAATAATGGTTCGATTATTCACCATCCTAGTGATGTAGAGAGCGAAGACTAAACAAAACCAAGTGACTTAGGCTCATAGTAATCCTGAATCTCGGACGGCTGATAATGGCTTCCACTGCTTTCTTAATTCCCATAATAATCCTACCTTTTAGTTTCAAACGGCAGAAAATGCGCATGAAGTAAAAGAAAAAGTTTAATCTTGAGACTGATTGATTTACAGAAAGTAAGGGTATTTATCGGTTTGCTGGTACAACATGACCCTTGGAAACTTTTGGAGGCATGCTAAGCTTCATATAAGAGTCATTAATCAGCCAACAAAAATTTGACATAATTTGTATGTTTACCAGAAGTTTCTTAGGCGTTTCTAATAAATGTTTCCAGCTTCCCCTTAATTTCTGAAGAAATTAATGAAAACGTGTCGGCGAATTCCAAAACATCTCATAATTCTTTTTTATCATTGTTTTGCTAGTTACCTTTTAAAATAGATTCCGACAATAACTAAAATTTAGTCGAACAAATACAATTATCGTTGATGTACAATAATATCATAATGTTCTAAAACTGATGCTTAAGTTAATCTTTGAATAATAACTTATCAGACCGATTTGTAAAGAACTAAACATTCATCAATTTTATTCTATTTTAATGTAATTTATTGAACCAGAAAACAATGGTCACTCAAAGATTGGTAAGGCAGAATGTAAATTTCGAGGTGAAATGCGTTATGTTGAACAATGGGATATGTTATTATTTCTAGGTGCACCAACGTAAGTTTCATATATATATATAATTTTCTGCGTATATGCATTTATATACAAAGTTATATTATTTACGGAAGTGTTCTGAAGCATGAAAGTTATGAATTCAATTTTCTACAATCATAGGATAATAATCTGAAAACGTCCAATGAGATATAACTCATGGATGTTTCAGGGTATTCAGTGATTTTTCAACTTACTTTAATTTGTCATGAAAGCAACCAGCAACGTGACCTATATCAAAAAGCATGATCTAATGTAAGAATGAACACTAAATTTTTAAATCTCGCATCAAACAAACTGTACACTACTGAATTCGAATTCATTTATCGATTGATTAATGACCATTCAGTGTTATTATGGATAACTGTTACACACGACATACTTCAACCACACGTTTTCTTGGTGTTTTTTTAATGTTAGTTTTCTAAGGGATGGGGTCGCCAATCCTATGCTCAACTTTCTTCCTTTATCTGGGCTTGAGACCGGTAGTAGCCGGCGGAGTTAGTTCAACCAGACAGTTGAATATAAATAATTGTATACATTTAACTGATTACAGTCATTATAGTTACACTCGCAACGAAAACTCATGTTATTATCCAGGATTACTTAATGATGTGAATAAGATTTTTTATTTGGCATATAAATTTCAACACCCAAATAAAACCTATTACATACCAAATTATACACGTTTTATGTAGCGTACTATATATAATCCTTGAGTATGATACTCCCTTCTTTGTAAAAGATGTAACACAAATATTCTTATTTATTATCATTCATAAATGGTGATTAAAAGTATTCTGTATCATATAAACGAATAGAAATACTAACTTCTGATACATATATTTTTTTTCAAAATAAAGAGAATTCTTAATTGATGAGATTAAGAACAACAATTAAATCAGACAGAATAACATGAATTCATCTTATTACGTTACGTTCCTATCAGCTACTTACAACTCCTACTATTCGAACTCAAAATTTCAGGTAAAGGCTAATATGATTATAGAAGCAAGATTGATTGGAATTTACTTATCATTATAGTGTAATAAACGTTCAAATAAATTTCAAATGGTTTAATTAAATTTCGATAGAGCCATGAAAAGACGGAGTTGATTAGCGCTATATATTTTAAACAATCTGCTCACATATAAATAAAATGCTGTAAATACATATATGTAGATGAAGTAAAAATAGGTTCTAGAGTATCACATATGGCAGTAACAAAAAGATAATAAGACCATCATTAGATAGTTACGTGATGAACTAATGAAATAAAAACAAAATGACAACTTAGAATGATGTAAGACAAACTCTGCCACTTAAAAATAAGATTCTGAACTTAAAAATGATACATTGACGTAATAAAATGGAGGAAATTTGAAGAAAAACGATTTGTTGGAATGAAATTTACCAGGGCCAAAGGAAATCGACCATTATTCCATTTTGCAAGCATAACATTTCGGTTATAGCTTAGAGTATCAAAGGTTATTTCTCACTAAAAACTGAAAGATTATAAGGTATACTTCACCTGATGTCACTGAGATTCCTAAAAGAACAGCACTGTTTAAAGATTTATTTCGTTTTACTAAAAACTCCTATTATCTTCCGGACATAATCAGTTAATTATTTTTCTGGTTGGCGATTGTTTTAGCGAGTTAGTTTTCTATGTGACGGGATGGCTAACCTCATGCCCACACCTCCTCCTTTATCCGGGCTTGGAACCGGCAGTAGCCTCCAGAAGGGCGAAAGGCGGAGTTGACATAATCAATAGATTGGTTAAAAAGTTTACCATATTTTGTTGGTACAATACATTGTACAAAACTAATGTTTCTTTATAATTTATTCTTAAAATAAATTTTAATAACTACATTTTATTGTTTACAAAATTTAGTATACGTGATATAAAACATTTAAATGAACATGGTTTATACATATGTGATTTGAATATGTTTGATCGAAGTAGAGATGTAATAATTTGTGGTGATCAAATATCAAGTGAATTATTGAAATTATTTCAATTGGTTAGTTTTATAAAAGTTTTTTTTAATTTTTCACTGTATCATACAATTCAATGATTAAATTAGAAAAGTGATGTTGATACACGTAAGTTACTAGTATTTGACCACAGATGCCTTAGAAATATTGTTCGCATCTGCTGGGATCACCGGGTATGTAATAGTGAGGTTAGACACATGGTATTAGGGAATGATGGTAAATCAGTTGATGAGGTCATGTGTTACGTATGCCTGAACACCGATTATCACGATGCGCAATGCTGACTAGTATTCGGGATGGTTGGAAGAGAGTTAGGGGCAGTCAAACCAAAACGTAGCATCAGTGCTTGAGGTCACTAACTTCTAATCTGAGCCATGTCGGCAGATGCAGACTACTTGGTTGGGGTCCGCGCGACCATCTTAACCAATGGTTGGAGACTCTAGGTGACATGGATCAGAATCAATCATAATGGCGTAGGTGTATACACTCTTCGTCTTCTCTTAAACTATGAGATTAAAATTGCTTCATATCTGTCTTTTTTCCTATACTATATCCTTATATACAACCTTTCATTTATATATTAACACCACTAAATTAAATACTTCTATGAACTCGGTGTTCATTTTGTTGTGCTTATGAGGTATGGCAACTAGGACCGATGCATATATGTGCCTGGTCCTACGTTATAGCGGACTGACTGACTGTTGTTAACAAAATTGCATTTTACGTCTAAGAATCTATGAATAATTTGTTTGCAAATCCGTCTCATGTCTTTTAGCTAGAAATCACTACTTTAAAGTATGAATTTATGGATTTTATTCGGTAATTATTCCGGTATTTGGTTAAGACAGACTTTTTGAATTATTCTCATTTATATACATTTACCATTTCAGATATTTTTATGGAGCCATTTACATAGAAGGGGTGACGATTATACAAGTCCCCTACTGTATTTCCGAGAATTACTCCACCTGACTAAGTAAACGAAAAATCAGTTAAAAATTCTATACTGAATAACTTAATTGATATAGAACATCAATTAGATAAAATCAGTGCAGTTCAACTTATCCATGCTTTACACATATTTCTTTGCATATAGTAAAAATCATTGATATTCGTTCCAACAAACTTAGTCTTTGTTTTCACAAGAAATTTGTACAATCACTGTCTTTAACTTGGCCATCATAATAGCCAAAATTTTAGTGAGCTACAAATAAGTTATTAAACAATGACTTTTCTAATGTTTCTTCCCTCCATTTGTTAATTTAATTTTAACAATGTTAAGTAAGTAAGTCAATAACTTCGTGGATTGGTTGAGGTTAGACATTAACACCGTTGGATGCCGGCTTATTGGTCTATCGGTTTAGTGCTCTGGAGCGAGACTGGTAGGTCATGGGTTCGAATCTCGCTCGCGAGACGAGATCGTGGATGCGCACTGCTGAGAAGTCCCACAATAAGACGAAACGGTCGTCCAGTGCTTTTAGGTTTTTATGATGGTCTAACTTCAACTGACTCATGATTTCAACTATGAAAATAAAATAAAAACCTAAAGATTTAAATCTATTATTTACACCATATACAACGATATTACTCACAAGAAACATATATGGCAATGATATTTAGTTAAAGTGCTTTTCAACAATTGTCATATTTACAATTATATATTCGTAATCAATGTACATACTGTTATATTTTATTTTGGCGTAATTTGCTCTCAATTTAAGTTTCGAGCTTCCTAATTAAGAAGACAATATTATTAGATATCACTTCATATAAGATAATTTATTAATCATGATGAAGATCAACGACCAGTTCATTAAAGCATAATGAGTAACCTTTAACAAAATAACTTTATATACATAACAATTAATTGTAGATAATATGATATCATTGTGTATAAACCAATATTTCTTACAGCAACGTAAAAAAAGTGAAGAATTAGAAAGAAGTATGAAACGTTTGGATAAAATACGAAAATTAACAGATCGTCTTTTATATCAATGTATTCCAAGAGCAGTGGCTCGTAAATTACGTGATGGTATTCCAGCAAATGAAACTATAGAGGTAACTTAAATGTAAATTCATTTAGCAATTCAACTAATAATCATATAAACAGTATGAATTTCAAAATGAAGTTGAATATATTTTTTTGAAAAATAGATCAGATAGAGTAATGATTACTTACTTTATAGATTACTTCGTTAGATTTGTAGATTAAAAAATTTGTTTTGAGCAAAAATATACTTAAATCTACAATACTTAAAGAATCAAACAAAGATCTATGTTTTCAGCCACCGTCAAGCTTGCATTAGTGAAATGTAAGATCAATTTTTTCGAAAGCTCTATCGAAAGTAATCAATATCCTATACTCTTCTGGAAGGCACCAAGACTAAACCACATTCATCTCAATCCAAAAACACTCAAACATCATGCACTCAATTGTATTGAGGCTATTAAATCCCGAATAGTTGAACTAGATCGCAATATATCTCTAAGAAGTCAAGCGTTGTTTGAATTGTCGTTAGATGAACGTGAACAATTTGAGGATTATGTTACTAATGTTACTCAAAGAATCAAACAAAGATGTATGTTTTCAGCCATTTAGTAACTTTTAAGTAGTATATATATATATATATATATATATATTCCTAAGCTTTTATAAGACTATAAGATGTATATAATATTGTTTTAATTTTATATTTTACTAGACATACGATTCTGTAAGTATATGTTTTACAAAAGTTTTTAATTTTTGTGCAAAATGTATGCATACAAGTGTTGATCAAATTGTGGAACTTTTAAATAAAATGTATACACTTTTTGATGATCTTACAGAAGCTTCTAATGTTTATAAGGTAAGTTAAATGATACATTAAAAAAACAACTTGTTATGTATTATTAATATTTACTGTTATGTATATAAGAACTTTCGTTTAAATTAGAGCGAACAGTTTCACAGTATTTGAGCGCTGAGTCGATGTAAGACATTAAATAGGAATAATATCATTGTAAAATCTCAACTAATGAATTTGAAGTAAATCCAACGTTTCGCTTGGCAAGTTGGTCCAAGCTTTCTCAATGATATTATTCATATTTAATGTCTTACTGTTACGTAGTTTATTATTATTACAAATGTATTGAATAAAAGTATGATTAATGTTTTTTTATAAAATGTGAAAATATAAACATTAATTTATTACAATAAATGGTTTTATAAGAGAATGAATATAGATCTCTCGAGGCCTTTTGTTATATCCCGAAGAGAATTATGAATGGTAACTTTTGAGAATTAATTATGGACCAATGTGATATGTATATCTACTATTGTATAATTGTTAATTAACTAAACTATTCATATTCGTATCCCTTTAATTATAAGCTTTATTTTGACCCATAGACTATTTCTATACGATTTGCAGTTCTTGAGTTATCCTCAGTCTATTAATTACTGTTCTCCACATTCACAGCCACATTTGGTCGAATCTTGTACAAATGTTGTTTCTTATTTTATGGTACGATGTGGTCTGTATGTTTCGTATATAAACCCAGTATGTTTGAAAATAATGATTCATATTGTAGAGGCTGTTATTGGTGTTCTGAACTTAACTGGGTGGGCTAGGCAGAATGTAGGACTGATAAGTACTTAAGACTGCTCGTACGGGTTTCGTGTGTCATTGGTGCGGTCGATAAATCACTACTCTGTAATAGGCGGACACAAGATGTAACACTTTTTTATGAGAAACAGTGACTAACAGAATCGAACAAATCAAAAAAGGGTAATTATTGAACAATTAATTCAATTTAACATAGCTCATTGAAACAAACATACTTAATTCAAATATATGATCTACTAGTTTTACTCCTGAATGACTTTATCATATCGTAGTTATCTAGAGATATAATCTTTTGGATTATGTATTGTAGAGGTTTTTCAATCTAGGATCAAGTAGATATTCAGTACGACTTTGATGTCACTAGTTTTCTAGTTGATGTTGTTTTGCGATGGTTTTCATCTTTAAAAAAATGATATAGATCAACTGTGAACACTATTTTACAGTGTCTACCATATGATATAAATTATTAAATCTAAAATCTAAAGACTGTTGTAGATATTTTGAAAAAGCAGTCAAAAAGATTAATAGGGATTGTAAAAGAAACTGCTTTCCTAATCTATGAATTGTTGTTGAGGAGTAAAGCTTTTCATCAGTTTGCTACGCTTAATAATGGTTTATGAAATGTTTATTATATAAAAATATTTTGATAAATATGTTTTATCTAATATGCCATAATGATTAGGCGTTACCCTGTATTTTAACAAATTTTGTTATATAAAAATCTATCAACTATTATACTCTTATATGGTACTAATCATATATGGCATAGATTTGTTGAACTGTATATTGAAAGAAGTTAAAATTATGTATTTTCTCAAAACTAGCAATTGAAACAACTAATTGTTTTTTATGTTCCTTTAATTTCTTAATTGATTACGGTTGTCGAAGAACATCATGATGAATTCCGCAAATCATGCAGAATTTTCATATTTTACATGTTATTCTGAGAAATAATTCCATGACTTTTTGAAGCGAAGAAATCTAACGTACTGTTCAAGTAAAATACAACATATCGAGATTAAAAGTCTATTGGAAACAACTTCCATTAAATCAAGTAAATTAAAGCATGAGCCAATTGAAGCCAGACCACCATCGAAAACCTAGAAGCACTGGACTGCCGTTTCGTCCTACTACGGGACCCCTCAGTGGCGCGCATCCATGATCTACTCTCGCGAGATTCGAACCCATGATCTACCGGTCTCGCGTCAGAGCACCTAACCGATAGACCACGGAGCCGGAATCCGATGGTGTTAATGTCTAACCTCAACCAATCCACGAAGTTGAGCAAACGTTCACTGATTGTCTTCAGTGAGTTCCTATCTCACAACAGACGTGGTTTGAACTCCACTGGTCACTGCTTCTCACTAGAACTCCAGGAAGCATTGGATGCCGGCTCAATGGTCTATCGGTTAAATGAAAATACTTAAATCTCCACAAAACCCCTTCTGATAACAAGTAAATTAAGTTATATTATTATGAAATAACTAAATGTGTATCACCTTCATTTACCTTACGTGCATTTTCATTTTAATCGATTAGTGGGAAGATAAATAATTCAAAAACCTAAAAAATAGTTCAGCTTGAAATATCTTAAAGTTTGCTTCATTTTCTATAATTAATCTTAGGTTGAAACTGTTGGTGACAGTTATATGCTTGTCTCTGGAGCACCGCATAAGACACGTTTTCATTCTGCACATATAACAGAGATGGCATTAAATATATTGAAAGTTACTCATGAATCTTTAGCATGGCCAAAATCTAATGATTCTAAGGACACCACTGATAATGAAAATGGAAAGGAGGTTTTAAAGCTTTACATTGGATGTCACACTGGACCTATTGTAGCTGGTATAGTTGGTCACAAAGCACCAAGATATTGTTTATTTGGAGATACAGTGAATACAGCTAGCAGAATGATGTCTAGTGGTGTGGTAAGTTCAAATGCATGATAAATATATACTATATGAAAAAAAAACTTGACAAAATCATTATCATGTACAACTCTGAATAATGCAATTTACTGATTCTGTAAACTTCCATTTAGATAAATTTGTGTCAAGGTTAGTGGCCCGTTGTATGCTTAACGGACCGTGTAGAAGTGTATGTCTAAAAATCTGAGAGATAGATGTATAGGAGAAAAAGTTCACCGACCACTCAGTAAGCACATAAAGACCGTTTACGTTTAAGAATTAACTTAGTGGATAACAATTGGCAATGATAAAAGTACAAGATTAAGATAATCTAACAATCAGTGACTAGATGTTGATAGGGTTAAGTTTCAGATGTGTTATATATCTTTCTATTTTTGATCAACAAACGTTTTTACAATAAACCATAAAAAAGCATATCATTTTGTAAATACTGAAATTCACATTCCTAACTTCAATTTGTTCACAATTTTGGGAAGTATGGTTAATTTAAAAATTCATCTTTTAAACTACATTTTAGCCTGATCGAATACACGTCAGTCAAATGTTTGCTGCTAATCTTTCGGAATTCCCGTACATTTTAGAATACCGTGGTGAAATTGATGTTAAGGTAAAATCTTGAAATATTTGGGTGTTATGTAATGATTTATCATTATCCTCATATCTGATAGACCAATCTTATTTTTGTAAATCTAGCGAATAGTAAGTTATTATTGATACTATCGTAGTGTGGTGTTAACGCCCAACGTTCTGTTAACTCTGAATTGATTGACTTCGATTAGTATTGAGTATTGTTGGTAGTATGTTCGTATTGGATTGGACTGTTTAATTGTGGAGGATTTAAATTCCAAAGTGACATTGAACTATTTCCTTACCCTTATTCAATATTCAGTTATTTGTATACAAGTAGGATTGAACTATATTGAAATCACGAACCGATTTTAGTTAGAGGACCATCAAAAACCTGGAGGTATTGAATGGCCGTTCCGTCCCAGTATGGTGCTCAACAGCAGTGACCATGAACCACCTTGCAATCAGAAATAAAATTTAGAACCTTCCGTCTAGCAAGCAAACAGTTGACCTCTAGACCACTAAGTCAAGATCTACACGTTCAATCCATGATATTGACCGACCATCTTCTATTGGGTCTAGGGAACATTGAACATGTGGAATTAAAATAACGTTTATTAAGTTAACTGAGAAATAAAAAATTTGAAACGAGTCACACATCGAAATGTCGTCAACTTATTGACATTAATCTTTCAGTAAATAAAAGCTTATTGTATGTTAACCATATTTACAATTAAGTCGAGTATAAACCGGTTTCATCCTTACAAACGCACACGTAGTGAGGCAAATAAATACTTTGTATATATTGTTTAAAATATTTCTCATGAATTACTCATTAGTATACATTGGTTTACAAAATATGAACAATAGTAGCTCTATGATTCTAAATGTGGGAAAACTCCATGCTTTTGATAAAGTACCATATGAACCATCCTTCAAATTTACATAGATGAATATTGTTGTCTATCAAGAAATGGACCACTAATTATGTTCATCATAAAAAATAAACAGAATAACTCGAGCGGCTTGAACAATTTCTTTCTTTATCCTACCTTTTGATTCATAATCCAGTTAGTAGGAAACGAGTAATTGCATAAATAACATTTGGAAATTTGTTTTTAACTGTTAGTTTGTTGACCATAAAAGTTATCAGGATGGTTTTATCTATAATCATATAGGAATTTGAATAATAACAATAATAGTTCAGTGGGAAATTCTACGCAAAAACTTAGCAACGATGTCATCAAAAATTATCAACAACAATCAATATTATATTTCATCATAGTGTATAGATTTTATTTCATGAAATAATCGAGTTATAAATTAACTTGGTTATATTAAAATAAAATAGGATGGCCTTCTTAGATAATGACATTTCAATAGTACAACAAGACCTGCTCCCCAGAGTTGACGAGCGCTCCGGGACTGGAATCCAGTACCGTTCGCTCAAACAACCAGCACAAAACGAATTAGAGAGCGTAGATACGTTTTTTGGCTCCAAGGGAGTGTGTTGTACTGCTACTGATGTTTATCATTACATTTGATTAGTTTCTCTTGGGATGTACCTACCCTAAGTAGATCCTTTGATATTAGTTGAAGTTAAAATGCAAACCGATTATTACCGTTTTGATTTTATACAATGAGGCGAATAATGTAGAGCGAATTTAATTTTCAATAAATATGAAACCTAATAATCTCATATCAATTTCTTTTTAAAAAGTGTCTACGTTATTCAATCATTCCAAATTGAATTGGGTAAATGTTGAGACTGCTTCAAGAAGCACGACAAAGCCTTCAGAGGCTCTGAAACATCCAAAAATCTAAATAAATGTAAGCCAAAACAATAAAATGTCGAATGTTCCCTAGGAGAGGCTTCATGCCGATTTTCCCGGTCCAGCACGAGGAAAAATATTTTTTCATAGTGGAATTCACACTATGTCGAATTGCGCAGCCATTGAAATAATTGGAAAGTCATCTGAATTGTTTAGATTCTTCAGAGTTACAGAAACCCTGTTGACCGACAACAGCTCACAATTCATCTCTGAATCATTCAAGCACCTGCTGTATTAATGAAATAACACATACGCGCTCTACACCTTATCACTCTCAATTGAATGGACATGCATGGCGCTTTGTTGACACATTTGTAAGAGCATTACTGAAAGGTAGGAGACGAAGAGACAAGTCAGATAGTCACGAAATTCTTAAAAGCCTATAGAACTACTCCCGATCCCATCGTCGCAGATGGAAAGTTCTCTGCCGAAGTTATGTTTATAAGAAGTATTCGAACTGTATTCAACGCAATTGCGCCACCCAAAACAGTGGATTGGTGCTGACAAAATCAAACCATCCGGGATTTTAGTGTGAGTGATATAGTAGTTGCCAAGTTATACCTTGATAAAAATCTATGGGAACCTGGTGTTATTAAAAAGAGAATGAGAAACGTTTTTTACAAAGTGCGTGAGACGTTCGAAACGTTGATCAGATACATCAACCAAAACCATAGAGATAAAAAGACAGTGAACACGGTACATAGGCAAGCGAATCTTTTACTTGAGGTAATCACAGACACTCACTGACGGGACCTTCAGAGGACATAACTGAGAACAATAAGTTGAAAGTTAGGAATCGAACGGACACCAAAGAAGACGGAATACCACCGCAAACCAGCTGCCAAGCTACAAGTGGACCCAAGCAGACGATCTTACTCCAAGGTGTTGGGATAGCTTCGAGAAGTACGACAAAACCTCCAGAGGCTCTAAAAGAGCTGAAGAGATTCCATCCAATCGGAACATGAAAATGCTTTCTAGAATATCATCGTGTGATGCCACGATTGAACAATTTCATAACTTGCCTCCATACGGGTTGGCTCAATTGCAATGAGGTTATAGCCAACAATAATAACTATAAATACCCATGTTTTATCTATACACTTTTGATTCTTACTGAATAATCTTTTCTCTTGCTGCTCCCGTCTTCTCTTGGATTCAGTGGAAGGAGGAGATCACAGTAACGTTCATGTTCAATTGTGCCAAGTTTTCTTAGGAGTATTGTGACCTTTTCCGTGTCATCAATTTTGGTGAGATCAACTTTGAACAAATCGTCATATTTCTTGAACCAGGATTCGAATGTAATACCAGCCAAACTATCGAAATGAAATTCCTGAATAAAATTGGTATGTGGGTCAGTAAGTCCTCTGTGATTAAGGTTCATTTGTTGCGTTAATATTTCCAGAATACGAACTTAGGACTGTTCATATCATACACCGATTTCCCAATGTTAAATCCTCTACTTCGTTAATGCAGAATACAATACACAACTAGCTGCACTCAAACGTATAACTCCCCCCCCCAGTAAAGATATAAAAATAAACTCCCATGTTCATTGTCTACATTAAACAATCTAGTTCATATAATTATGAAGACAATAGACTTTACTTCTTAGAAAGTAAATGTTTGACCTTTTAGTATTTCCATTATTAGATCTAACGAATGTTTATTATTATTCATTGTAATTAAAAAGATACTAACTAATTAAAAGTAATTGAAACCTTGAAAATCTTTAATGAAATTTAACTTAATAAATAATCCCTAAGCTTGTGTTCCTTAACAATAAAAAATCTTGTATGGTCATTGTTCATGATGTTCTTTATTTTATAGGGTAAAGGTAAAATGAGAACATATTTTGTAAATGGTCGAAATGATGATTTTACATTATCAGATAATTTATATGGAAATCAATTAAATTTTAGTAAAATATTAGAAAAAGATGTTGAAGATATTGAATTAGATGATTCTACTATATCTCATAATACTTCAATAGATCCTATGAATGAATTTATTGAGAAAGATCATGAAATCTCATCTGAATGTTCAACAGGAATTGATCTAGACGAACTATTAGATCATAAACATAAACAAAATGAAGAATATAATATAAATTTAACTAAACATGATAATATGATGATCAGTAAATTGACAGATTCAGTAAACATAGTCAGTTGTCACAATAATAATAATCGAGCGATAATTCCAATCGACCACAAAGAAGATGAATTAGTAAGTCATAATGAGTCTTTATTATCAGCAACAAATCAAAATGATAAAATTACTACTATTACTACTACTAATACTACTACTAGTAGTACTAGTACTAGTACTACTACTACTACTAATACAAACCATGATATTAATAATAATAATAATTCTATTATTTCCAACGGTGATATTTGTCCAAACTTTAAAATATCAAAAGTCAAACGAACTAATGAAAAATCATATGAGAAATTCGGGGATCACAATCTATTAAATGAATCTAATTCAGATCTAATTCATTATCCATGCCAAATACAAAACATAAATGAATTACCATGTTGTTCATCACAATTTTCATCAATATATAAAAAAGATGTTAAATTTGCTTTAGATAACGAGAAAATAATTTCATATGAATGTGAAAGTAGTGAAGATGATGATAAATTGAATGGTGAATTTCATTCTTTAGATGTCCATAATGGTAAAGATAATGCTGAAGAAAAATGTAAGACAAAGGTATTCGAAGGAATTAGTTCTGAGATAGAATGTTCAAGTAAACAACAACAACAACAACACTCACAAAAACAGTTACCAGTAAATTTTAAAAATATCACTTCAGTAGAACAAAAATATAGTGAGTTTATTGAAACAATTTTAGTTAAATGTAAAGTCTTAATAAACAATACCAAATCCTAATCGACGTATAAATGTACACCAATAATTAAGGATATCAATATGACAATTGTGAGCGATTATTTTACACTGACTAGATAAGTGAATGATAACCAATGTTATATTTATCTAGTTTTTATAGTTGATTAAATTCTGTTCGTGAAGTTGCAATGTGGACATAACTAAAAGTACCTTGATATCCCATACACTATTCTCCTTATGTTACATGATTGTAGGCAGTCTTAAAGAGTACTGAACCCAGTTTTTCTACCAATTGTAGCCCTTCATTCTTAACGAGAGAGATTTATTGAAGTTAAGAGTTGATATCATTGATTAACTATAGCTAAATAACAGTTGAAAACTGTTGTTCCATCTTCCTCCACAAATCCACTGTATTTAGAAGTTCGAACGACTGAATTCCAAATCAGTAGGTTAAAGGTAACTGTCTCATTGAGAGGCCTGATGGTTTTGGTTTTGATCCTCAGAGATATTCACCAGTCTTTGTTATTTATGCTTCGGCTATCATCTATTCAAACGATTTTGTTGTATTTTGTGACCGAGTGCATGCCCTGTTAATGTATAACCTGACGATGTCACCAATTAGAAAACAGCCAATTATCGATCGGACCAATGACACACAAAACCCGTACGAGCAGATTAAAGCACTTTTCGGTCCTACATTTTGCCTAACCCAGCCAGTTAAGTCCAGAACACCAATAACAGCCTCTGCAGTATGAATCATTATATTTCAAATACACTGAGTTTATATACCAACCAAACTGACCACAGCGTACCACAAAATAAAAAACAATATTTGTACAAGATTCAGCCAAATGTGGGTGTGAACAGGGGAGATAGTATATAATAGACAGGACATAATTCGGGAATGGTAAATCATATAACAATAGTGTACAGTCCAAAATAAAACTCATAATAAGGGGGACATGAATATGAATAGTTTAGCTGATTAACAATTATACAATAAAAATGTACATATAGTATTGGTCGATAAATAGATCACAAAGTTACCATTCATTATCCTCATCGAGGCATAACAGATTCACACTAATAATAATAATAATAATAATAATAATAATAATAATAATCAATAGTTACTTATTTGAAAGTATTCATGAAAGTTTGTTCTACAACTTGTTCTTCCTATAGCTTTATATTATTTCATTGTATCTTTGTTTAAACTACTGTTTTAGAAATTGAAAAATTCAGAAAAATGATTAAAAATAATTCATTTGGTCAAATGAATCCAATCTCGCTTTCTTCTTCTGGATCTGATGTATTTAATATATTATGTAAGGGTTTAAAATTATCTAATGAATTTACTCATAAATTTTATTTACATATATATTGTAATGTAAATAATTTATAGTTATCGTAATTTTAATAGTGGAGATCATGAATCAATCGAAGCTAGACCACCATCGGAAACCTGGAGGCACTAGAAGGCCGTTTCGTCCTATTGTGGGGCTCTTCAGCAGTGCGCATCCACGATCCCATCTCGTTAGATTCGAACCCAGGACCTATCAATGTCGCTCAATTTCGTGGATTGGTTGAAGTAGACATTAACACCGTCGGATGCCGGTCGGCTCAGTGGTCTAGAGGTTAAGCGCTCGAGCGCGAAACTGGGTTCAAATCTTGCGAGGCGAGATCGTGGGTACGCACTGCTGAGGAGTCCCACAATAGGACGAACCGGCCTTTCAGTGCTTCCAGGTATCCATGTCGGTCTAGCTTCGATTGATTCATGATCTCAACTGATAAAATTACTATAGTATCCACAAAACCCCTTCTGAAATACTTATCATACACAAAAATATCACTTAATATACAGCTGTTGATATTAACTTTTTGACTAACCAAAGGATAGTGAAACAATGAAACTGATTCCTCAAAGAATGTTATTATCTTATTTTACAACTAATACTAATAAACAAGTAGTCATCATTATAAATAAAAAAATAAATAAACGTAAGTGTGTATGAATATTAAAATTGTGCTAATATTAAAGTTGTACTAATATTAAGTGTCAAAAATCTTTTAACACAAATAATTGATAGTGAATAAATGAAACATAGCCTTCCTTAAACATACTGACAAACTCAACGAATTCAAGATGGCTCTCAGCAACAGGTTACAACATCCACTCAAAGAAGAGCAGACTACTATGAAAGACAACTGAAAAGCGATCAACGTGTCAGGAGGTTCTGAACTACAAGAAGCATCATCATATAGAATGGATCTCTATCGAAACACTAGACAGGGTTCAAGAAAGGAAAAACAAGAATACAGTAATTAATAACAGCTGAACAAGAACAGAGAAAATCAAGGCACAGATTGAATACACAGGAGCGAACAAGAGAGAGAAGAAGATCATTAGCACTGACAAGCAGAAATATGTGGAAGAGCTAGCAACGACAGCGAGAAACGTTGCATGTGAAGGAAATATGAGACAGCTATGTGATGCAACGAAGAAAGTAGCAGGGAAATATAGTAAACCAGAGCGACCAGTCAAGAACAAAGAAGGAAAGTCAATCACTGAGATTCAAGAACAGAGAAACAGGTGGATAGAACAATTTGAAAAACTCTTGAATAGCCCAAACACATTGAACTCGCTGAATAATGTAGCAGCACACACAGGCATCCCGATCGCGGTCTCCCCACCAACAATCGGAAAAATCAGCGTGGCCATCAGATGAATGAAGAGTGGAAAAGCAGCAGGATCAGACAACATATCAGCTGAAGCACTGAAGTCAGACATAGAGGTCACTGAAAAGATACTCCACACACAATTCAGGAAGATTCGAGAGGAAGAACAAGTGCTGACAGACGGGAAAGACGGATACCTCATCAAGATACCAAGGAAAGTAGATCTGAGCAGTTGTCAGGACTACAGAGGCTTCACATTACTATCTGTAGCAGGAAAGATCTCCAACAGTGTTGTTGAAGCGAATGGGAGATTTTGTGGACGCTCAACTTCGAGATAAACAAGCTGGATTCCGTAAGGATCGATCGTTCACAGACCAAGTCACAACACTAGGGAACATTGTTGAAAAGTCAACTAGATGGAATCAAATTCCTTCACTATGAGGAAGCGTTTGGTAGTGTGGATATGAGAACCTACGGAACCCTATTCGACAATATGGTGTATCTGAGAAGATGGTCAACATCATACGGAATTTATACGGCGGACTACACTGCAAAGACGTGCATGGAGGACAGATCGCAGACGCACTACAAGTGAAGACTGGTGTCAAACAAGGCTGTTTACCCCCTCCGTTTCTCCTTGTTCTGGTGGACGATTGGACTATAAAGACTTCCACACCTGATGGGAAGCACGGAATACGATGGACAGGTTGGATACAACTAGACGATTTGGACTCCGCAGATGACCTAGCTTTTCTACTGCATACAGAGCAACAAGTGCAGGCGAAGACAGCCAGTGTAGTAGCAGGTTCTGAATTAGTAGGCCTCAACAAACAGAATGGAAACACCAAGATCCTCAAATACAACACGGAGAACACCAACCTAATCACACTTGGTGGAGAGGCTCTGGAAGATTTGGAGACCTTCACCTACCTGGGCAGCATCACCGATGAACAAGGGGACTCGAATGCAGACATAAAGGCCAGAGTTGGCAAAACCACGGCAACATTCCTACAGTTGAACAACATATGGAACTCAAGACAACCGTTAGCCAATATCAAAATCAGGATATTCAATACGAACCTGAAGACAGTTCTACTGTATACAACTGAAACTTGGACAACTACCACAATTATCATCGAAAATGTACAGGTATTTATAAACAATTGTCTACACAAGGTACTCAATGTCCGTTGAACGGATACCATCCGCGACAGCCTACTGTGGGAGAGAACAAGCCAGGTTCGTGCTGAAGAGGAAATTAGGAAAAGATGATGGAGGTGGATAGGACATACATTAGGAAAATCATTAAACTGTATCACGAGGCAATCGCTAACTTAGAATCCTGAAGAGAAAAGGAAAAGAGGAACACTAAGGAAAAAATTGAGTTGGAAATTGAAAGCAGACATCAAAAGAATGAATAACAACTGGAAAGTATTGTTCAGGACAGAGTTGTTTGTAGAGTGCTGATGGGCGGTCTATGATCCTCCACGAGGTGTAACAAGCTAGGTAAATAAGCTTCAGTATTTCTTCTTCATTATAAGAGAAGCTGAAATAAATATTTCAAAAGGTGAAATAGATTATAGTGTGATGATTAAACTTATTGGAATATTAATTATGAAAATTGTGAGGAAAGCCACGTATAAACAATCGGTTAGTGTGTAAACAACGAAGAAGACGTACCAAAATGTTAAAAGAAGGCAAGAGAAGTTTGTTAAGAATGGATAAAACCGTCTTATAGGGATCGTAAAAAATTCTTACTTACTCTATTGGTGACTGTTAACGAGTGTTGTCTTCAAGTTTTCTAAGTTTACACTAGAGGGCTAAAGGCTTATTTTTACCAAACACAAAATAGTAACTAAAATACCCTTAGTATAAAATTATCACACTTTAATATCACTGTCTACATAAGGATGATTTTCTCATGAATGATTCAACGCACCATTATTAACTATGGTAACATTAAGTTATTTATTATTATTGCTGAAATTTTCTAGTTTTATAACATTCTAGTCGTTTAAAGATCCCCATCATCAAATATTAGTCTTTCACAACATTCATTATTTTTATCAGACGTTACCTAACGTACACTAGATGGAGGTCCTTTTGATTTTCCTAAGAAATCCATTAGGAAAGTCACGAAGATATGTGAACCGCTGTTACATTCTACGCCACAAATTAAAGAAGACAATATTTAAGATATGACTGCTTATAATATTGGTTTCAACAAATATTATTGACTTAAAACTGATGTTTTTTAAGGAATCGGTCAGTAGATACATGAAACGGTCTCTTAGAAAGTGAACGGTGATATGACGGAAAAAGAAAATAACTCTGGTAATAACATTTATCAGAATTTTTTATCACAGATTGTAGTCAGATTAAAGACAAAGATTTAGTGTAATATCATCATATATATATTTAATAATGTTCTGATACAATGTAAAACATGTGGTCAATCTGTTATATCTACAGAAACAAAAAGAGAAATGAAACGGAAACATGGTAATCTTAGCTTATAAAGCCTATAAAATTTACAGTAATTCATTCGTAAAAATTGTTTTTTTGTTTGTTGTTCTTTTCTAATATATTACAGATGAACCTTTGACTTTAGGACTGACTGAACTAGCTATAGTCAAACCAAATGAACCAATCAAATATCTTGGATCATGGTTGAAACGTTATAAATCAATGGAACAAGAGGAAGATTATTAAGCTATTCACATAATCAGTAGATGCATTGTTACGAAATGTGTGACTTTAACAATATAGTTTCATTTTAAATCGTTTAAAAATTTAATCTTAAAAAATAGCTTTTCTCTTGGACACTTACTTTCAAAAAGTTAATTGACACACAACACTAACCGTATCTAAACGATAGTGCACATGCTCATAGCTAAAGTAATTATCATTTGAATATTGCCATATTATTCACTTGTACTTATGTTCAGTGCACGAATAAATTATTCTATTGAATTCACACTTTAAACCTTTTAACTTTTCGTTATTCCATTTTATTTGGGTTAAACACTATTATTATAAGATCATTATGTACTCTAGATACCATATTAAGGATTGCCACAATTGCTCTGTAGACATTCTTCATTGATAATGCTCATTCGAGTTCTAGAAGAAAATGATAACTGATGAGACCGTCAAGCATCATGTCTCTGTCTCGACACAAACCCTTCAAGGCACTGCTCCTTTTCCAAATAGACATTTTAGAATTCTTACAATACTTTATATCCGTCTAATCCTCCCACCCACTATCGTTTCCCCTTAAGTTCACCTTTGGGATATTATTGATAAGGTAACTGGGAAAGATTCTGTCCTACCACGAGTATATTTCCACTAAATACTAAAATATTTTAGTTTGACGAATGGCACTGCATCCGTTTGGTATGACAAGTAGAAACTGTCTTTTAAAGACTGCTTTCATGTAACAAGAAATAAACAATATAAATGAACCTATTCTAACAAATACACATATGTGGATGCACCACTAGTGGTGTTCACGTACACTTAGTTTTCCATCATATTGGCTCATGTCACAGTTCAGTCAAACTTCTTGCTTAACTATAGTCTAACTTTGCAAATTCTGTAGAGAATTTCATTCTCTAGGATTCATTTTGATTTACTAATTATACATGGTAACCTCCCGATGTTTTCAAGTAGTCGTACAAAACGTTCACAACTTATTACAAGATACCTTTTTTACGAATACGTATACAATGTAACAAAAATCCATCTATATGTCCCTTATGAATAATGATAACTTTTAATTTCACCTCAAATGTAAGGTTGGTGTTCTTGATACTTTGTTCGTTCTGTTTATTTTGGTTCTAATGGATATTTTTATTGTCCGTTTTTCTTAACATTTTGGTTTTCCTATTGTGTTACTTTACTTAATGAGTTTTACCGACTGTTTTAGTCTTATTTTACTCAACAACTTAATTTGGCGGCTGCTATTTCAGTTTTTTGTTTTCTTCGTTTATCCTTCAAGTGGTTGGCTTGACCAAAATCGATTGCGATAATATTAAAGCACTCCTACGAAACTGTGGTGTGTGCTACTTATGCAGACAGATAGAAGTAGATGTCAGGAATCCAATGTAAAACTCTTACGTAAAGAAAAGGAAAATCAAGAGGACAGAAGGGAAAACATAAAGCAGTCAAAATAACAACAGGAATGGAAGGACGATGAAGTTTGTGAGAGACAACTCATGGAAGATGGGCGAATAGTGAATTTATTGTGTTGTTATCGAATTTTTCAATCCCTTGTACATTACGATGGGACTTAAATCAGGTCTTTGTGAAAATCAATAAATATATTATTATGAACAAATGTCTATACAGTAAAGTAAAGAATAATTGATGGTGAATAATACTCGGTCAGATCATACGAATCCCTTTGTTACTAAGACTACACTAGTCATATTGTGAGCGTTAAATAAATCCATATCACTAGCCTTTTTTTCTCACTACGTGTAGTCATATGTAGTTTCAGCACCATGTTACTGCGTAGTGACTAGTACTAAGTCAAGCTGTGGTATTTGTACGGAATAATGATTCTTTTGTACTTGGTTCCCCACTGATTTAGAATCCCAAATACAATACGTTCATTTGTGCTCATCTAGTTCTACTTACAGTAAATCTCACTATTGCGGGAATTCATAGCTAGTACAATAATTCGAATACTTTTAATCATCACACGAACCAACGTAGGTTATTCTAGCTTATGGACAGACCGATGTATTCATTATTTTCAAGCCATATTTGACCTTGTTAATTATTCGCTTACTGATCCTGACTGTTTTTATATGATCATATGTGTGTTAATTGCTTGTATTATTCATCACGTTGTTGGGGTCTAGGATCTGTTTCCAATTAGATCGTATGATTGGTTGATTGCCAAAATATACATCCTATCTATCCTCGTGGTATGTAATACATGACTTAATCCGCGTTGATGAATAACAGAGTTAAATAATTCAAATACGAGAATGGATTTTGAATACATGCATTTTGAACGCTCATTGATCTGGACAGGAAATCAGAGTAATGAAGCGAATAGAAGAGAGCGAAGCGAAAATGACACGCATAGGACATGGCGGGTAAGCCAACTCACTTGTAGTGTAGTGCTTCGTTAATCGATCGTCTTGATAACCGTTATTATAACAATCTGAACGGTGTATAATATCAGAAGACAAAGGGAAGCAGCAACTACATTTTTATTGATAAATAACATGGGCTAGAAGGCAGTGAGCACATTAGCAAATGTAAGCAAGCGAAGGAAAGATGACGCAGAGTGGAGATGGCTGGGAAGCCAACTCGTTATAAGCAAGCATTAATCAACATTTATAGTCAGGCTAAAATGAATGACAGACATGTGATAGGTAGGATAAGAAGGGTGCATACACATGCGCTCATATAAAAAAATAGTCAACGTCAATAAGCGAATAATTAACAAGATCAAAATATGACTCATAACGTTATAGGTGAATTGGCTTGTCCAGAAACTAGAATAAGCTATGTAGGTGTAATATAGTACACGACGTTACACTACTCCCCACACACTTTAACCAAGCGTTAATCGATATTTAGGGTCAGATAAAAATGAGTTACAGACATGTGATGTATATGATAAGAAGTGTACACACATACGCTCATATACAAAATAGTCAGGGTTCATAAATGAATAATTAACAAGGCGAAAGCGTGACTCATGGTGGATAGGTAAATTGGCTTGTCTTGAGGCTATAATATAGTATATGGGGTTAGCATATCAGCCGACATTACAACGTGTATGTAACTTATTTTCGTCTGAATATAAATATTGAGTCACACTTTATCAAAACGAGCTGGATCATTCATTTACTCCGCTGTGCGACACTTCGCTTCTCTGATGGTCCATCTAGATCAATGAATGTACGAAATATACGTACTTGAAATCTATAAACTCATTTGGCTAGTAATATTCCCTTATTCTCCAGTTCAAATTCAATCGATAATTATAAATGAGGTTTGGCGACATGCATATTTCTGTAACAATCGACATGCGATTTACTTGGAATCGAATACAGGGCCCCCTAAAGCTGGTTGGCAAATGAGAAATTATTCAATAAACGTACACTGAAAATCAAGTGAACAAAGAAAATCATCATCCTTCTTTGTGGAAATCCACGGAAAGCAATAGTAAATTTTGAGTAGCTTTATGGAGGAATAAGTATAAATTTTAAGGCGACATCCAACCTTTAAATGATTGCATTCAATTCAGAATGTTTTACGATTCAGTCTGACTATTTATTATTCAATACTTGGAGAAAGTGAAGTGTGGGTCCGAAACTTTCAAATGCAAATATTTCATTATTTAGCAAAGCAAAAAGGCAGTTTTAATGTCTGTTCAAAACAAGGAAATAAATTACAGCTTCCACTTAATATAATTGAATTCTGAAAGGTGGTCAACGGCTAAATAGTAATCACCAAACTTTAGACGCTATAAATACAATACTAAATATAGTCGGTTGAGATTTCTTAACAGTAAACTACTGCTATGACGACGTTCCTGTACTAGTATAAAAATATAACAATATATTCCTGACAAGTAAGTTTTATGCCATCTCTTCATGCGTAATAAATAGTATACAAAGGTCTAAAAGTAGGACTCAGGCCCAGTATAGTTGGTAAAAGACAACTCTAATAAATCAAGAAAATGTTGCAGGGGATTGTTTGCTCATATTCGTTAGCAGAGTATTTTGTGATGGAACTGTTTAATACGTTTATAGTTACTATGGGTCAACAATGCGCAGGCGCCTGGTATATGGTGTGACCTCTACAAGGCCGTACTTTAGGTTTGCGGTCTGGACATGAAAAGAAGATCTATGGCTGCGTACTGTAAACGTGGCACTGAAAAAAGTAAGGTACAAAAGACGAACGGAAAGAAAATCGGATACATACTCCCAAGATTATTAAGGCGTTTACAATGGAACAGACAAAAATATGCTTGGTCAGAAGATAAAAATTATACTGGTATCATTATAATAAATTGTGGTCAATTTTAGAAAATAAATCAATGGAGACTAACGAATTCCGACGAGTAAGAGGATGAAATAGGTCGAATAAGGAGGGATAAATTGGTCTAAGAAGCTGGAAGGCTGTTCATCGTATACTAAAGTGCTTCAAAAGACCATAAGGTTAAGAAGTGCAAATAACTTTATTGCTTATGTTATTATTTTCCTTTCCATTCATTTTGAACCGAATCTCAACCAATACGTTATGGGGCAAGATCCAGAGTTAGGTTGTTGTGTTTTGTTTTGGTAGAATAGACATGCTAACGTAAGCCTGGAAACAGGAGTCTAATGGAAAGCATGCTTAAGATAACAACCTCGGTTTCACTGAGAGCTTGCTTCATTCTCAATCATAAAGTTCCTCAAATAAACAAACTTTCCTCTCCTACAAATAAGTGTGTATTGAAGCCATCTCTGTCGTTATCAACACTTGCTAGTTATTAACACTAAGTAAAGTGTTCCAATATAACCCCTCAAAGGCATATATATTGTTGTAGCGTAAATCTGATTCTGTCTATACTCGTATGTAATAAATGACTTTATCCGCGTTGGTGAACAACGGAGTTAAATACGTTAAATACGAGAATAGATTTAGAATACATATATTTTCTACAGTCATTGATCTGGCCAGAGAATCAGAGTGATGAAGCGAATAAAAGCGAACGAAGCGAAAGACCATGCGCAATGGAGATTGGCTGGGAAGCCAACTCGATTTAAGCAAGCGTTAATCAACATTTATAGTCGGACAAATGATTAACAAGATCAAAATATGACTCATGACAGGCGAATTGGCTTGACCAGCAACTAGAATAAAGTATATGGGCTTAACATATAAACTGATACTACAATATCACCTTATGTTGAGAGGAGTCCCAACTCATCCCATATTAAGCTCAGGATTATGGAGTTTGAACCACTTAAAATCAGATAGATACTGTGAAGCTTAGATCTTTAAAAAATTACGGTATTATGTAGAATTTAACCCAGATTCAAAAAGGAATGTTCTGATTTACATGCACAACCTTTCGCCTTACCCCCTATGTTTCCCTTTGTCAACGTTAAATCACTATCTGACTAGGAAATTAGCTTTAAAATATTGGTTCAATTGGGTCTATCAGTTGTTCTTAAAGGCATTTTTTAGTGAGTCTCACTTAGATTATATCAGTAAGTTTATTCTGTCCAAATCTCACGATAGACTTTTACAAGGTAGATCTAACTCTAAAACCTGATGCCTGTCCTGAATTTTCAGCATCTCTTACTGGAACATAATCGTCTGATACTTATCAACCTCTCAGTATCTTTAGCCTTGGGAGGAGGTTGGAAGAATTTGGACTTATTAGAGTGAATTACCCACCGGTTTTAGAATGACAAGCAGACTACCAGAAAGATTTCAGCATTTCTTTTAGAACTATGTGAATCTATCTCATTCCGAGTCTGTGTAGAGCCGATCAGACCATATGAGGGATTAATCATATTTAGCGTGTTAATTGTTTTGTGTAACTTCTTTGAACGAGTTTTGAAAGTTGGTACCAGTAGCGTTTGTCAGTTTATGCTGAAGTAAGATTACATGATGCTTATTCATACACTTTGGCACAGTCCTTTGCTTTGCCCTTAGGTTGATCAGTGTATATATCCACTGTGGTTGAAGCAAGGTTGATAGGAATGTAACGGTGAATAAATCTCCAGTACAAATAGTTATGTAAGTCTTCGACGTTGATGCTGACCTCGTTCTTTTTGCTGGATAAACCATATCTGAAGGCGCTCGCTCCTGCATTCGTAACAGATTGCCATTGAGTACACCAAGCTACGCATTTCTCACAACTTAGATCAAACGTTCCTTAACATATCGACGACCTTCCAAGTATATCTTGGAATACATTCATACCCGACTTCTGGTTTGACTGGGTTTGAAATTCTTGGTTAAATAGATAGTTAAGACAACAGCGTTATCAAGATCTGAATACTCATAGTATCTTCCAGGGTGCAATAATCAGTAGAAACAATTTTTCATTATTATTACTAGCTGTTGAACTTTACAATAAAGCATTAGCTAAATTCAGCTATTATTCAGTCCAACCAGTTGAATCACTCTACTTTCGATAATAACTTCGTTCTGCGGGTAGTCGTTTGTTTTAATTCCGGGAACTGGAGAATAGGTTTGCAAAACAGTATTTTGAACCTTAGCATTGATCATTTGTCTATCAATTTCGCGCTATATCTTGTTTTTGGAATGCTGAAAAGAGACCTGCGATGTTTAGGTTGATGGCTTCTGTTCGTAACCGATGATAGTGAAGATACGAATAGTATCCTGATTTTACAACCTGCTACCAGTGGCACCTTCTATATACAAAGCTTTCCCCAATCGAATGAAACCAGGAGTCAACTGCGAAGAGGTAGGAAAGATATATTTGATACGTTATCAATATATCGCGAAGCGTTTATTCTAAGCTGACTAGTGAACGTAGGAGCTGTGTCCCACGCTTGTTCGAAACGTGATCTGGTGTAGATGCATGACCGAAAACCTTCAGTTAAACAAATCCACTTAAACAATGTGGTCAGCATCCAATGTCGAACACCTAATGAGCTATTGATTTTGGGGGATTATTTATAGCTACAATAGCTACTTACACACAACACTTAGGTTTTAACTTAGAAAGAGAATGATCCGTAGAAAACTTGGTATTGGGGGTGGGAAAAGCAGTACAACATGATTTGATACTACTCTATATATATAGTACTTTGAAGGACGCAGAAATCTAGCGAGCTAAAAGCGAAAAAATCAGTCATGAAAAATCGGAGGTAGTGCGAAAAATTTGGTTGGTAGGAAAAATACTTATGATTATCTTTTTTGCTAGGCTTCATCACTGCTAACACAATCTGGGTACTCTTGTGGTCCCCGAACCTAACGAAACATTTTTATAAACACCTTTCTAATTGAATTAGCTGCGTTGTACTTATTTCATTTCATGTTTACCATGTGTCCATATCATCAACATTTTTATGTTCCGATACCCATTTATTGTACTTTATGTAAAGTTATATAAGTTGATTCACTGACTGATACATTAATTGGTTCACCCGAATAATCTGTATACGGACGACCAAGAAGCCTTATTTTCAGGTGTCTTAATGTGCTAGAATGGAACACAGTCGTCCTAAAACACTTTATGGTTCAACTCATAATGTAATTTATCAAGCATGACCAGCCTAAATTCAGTATTTAAGGTTGCTCGAGATGCACATTTCATTGGAGTGAAATCCCTTACAATGGGCTAAATCTTTAGACTACTCCCTACACTATATACTAGTGACTCACTTTCATCCTTGCTTCCTAAACTCTGCTAACTGTACGTAGTAGGCATCGTGTCGCGGTTGACTATGATCAACAGTACAGGAAACTGCGTGCCAGTTACTAGGTTAGATCCCTCTGTAGGCCGAATATCAGAAAGCATTGATGGTTGTAGTAAGATTTATTTGTTTTCGATCTCGTGGTATTGAAATAATGCTGAGGTCGTGCCAAAGTTTACAAGAGGGACCAATGAGTGTACACGAGTTCATGTAACAAGTTCAAGTAACACCTCTATAATCGAAGTGCACCAACCCAGTCAAATGAGAAGTCAGAAATGAGGGGGTCCTAAGATATATCTGAAAAGCTACCGATATGTCCAGAAGCGTTTGTTCTAAACTGGCTAGCAGTTGCAATAGATGCGTAGCATGGCTTACTCACTGGTGATCTGATGCGGATGCGCAATCAAGCGTCCAGTAAAACTAGTGGGTTCAGAACCAATATCGTAGGCTTACAGGACCACTTATTTCGTGGATTTATTTACTGCCATACAGGTTCAAAGAAAAGCAACCGAAAAGTTATACTTGATGAAAAATAAAGCAAAATCGAATTGCATATGCACTATAAATTCGCAACCTGTTCAGTGCAGACGCGTCAAAGGCATGTGACCACTTTATATTATGCCCACTACAGACATATTTATCCGCAATAGACTACTTATAAGTTATAATACTAAAATAGGTTTAAGAAAACATTCATTGATGACAAGAGATGAAGGGCTGGTTTGAAAATGAATGCAAAATTTTCAATATCAGAATCACCAAGCTCTGAAACTTTGCACCCGAGGTTACAGCAATGACACGCCATGTAAGATCCTTCAAAAGTAGCTTTGACTCTTACAGAGGTCTTGTGAAAACTGATTAGTATTATTTTAGGTGTCTCGTGTTTCGCCAATCTCTAATTAATAAAAAATTCCATGGCCTCTCCACTTTGAAGGTTTATATGACACACAATTTCCGATAACATTAGTTGTTACGATAGCTTGGTGCCCACGACTTACAAGAGTGTCTTAAAGCGAACAATAGTCACTACGGAATGCGTAAGTTAGAACGACCAAGAACGCGAAGTATAAATTGACTTAATATAACAGTCTACAACAAGCAAACAAAATCCGAAGACTAAGCAAAGAGGACTAATAGCCGAAGGAGTTGTGTGAAATATACTCTGGTGTACATGGAAAGGTTGAACAAACACAAATGTAAAATTTCAGAGATGTTTAATAGGTATCAGCATTAATACAATATGAAGAGAACTATACCATTCTGTAACCAAGAATAATCTCCCAATACTCAGACAAAGATTTAAAGAAGCAGTTCTCTATTACTATTACCTGGCAAATTTTGGTGCTTGTAGTGTAAATGACTCGACCTTTGCTCGCGGTTGTTTCGAAAAGTTCTTTTTGGACCCTCAGTGTAGCCCATGGATCTAAAAAATCACTTCATCGACAAAAAAACCGAGACTCTGTAGTTTATGATGTCCATTCAAAGGAAGCCTTGAAGTCAAAGCAAGTTTACGTTTTTGGTTTCTCAGCAACTGGAGCTCTGGGTAATGAGAAATATCTTGGACTTCATGGTTTGTATTTGTTATTGTTAATCTTTCTGATATTGCACTTAGGTAAACCTGGTGTCGCGGGCGTATCACGACCTACGCCTTTGAGATATTCGCCGTCTTTAGGTGTCCCATTAAAAGCTGCCTGTGGATATGGCTTCACAACATATATATATGAAGGCAGTCATGGGGATTTTGGCGTCTACGGTTGTGGGATCAACAGTGATGGCCAATTAGGATCACAGGTTGTCTATATTGTAATGTTCATGATTCCACAAATGCAAAGTCGGGCTTTTAGAACTTGAACGAAATATCATGGACTGGTAAACATATTAAGTGCCCAATCATGGCCGTTTTTGGCAATAGACAGCATTATATTTAGTCACTACATCCTATTAATGCTTTTGTTTTGAATTGCCTGGAATTGTGGTCACTCAAAAGCATTATGTCTGATTGTGACCAGTAGCCACAGACTAGATGTACATTACTTTTCTGTGAATCATCTCTGTTGAGACAAATTGTGAATATTTGCAGTCTTTATCTACTACTCATATAATTAACGCTATTTATTTGTTTTGGCGCTCTGACTGTAAGGTTCCTTTTAAGAACGGTAACTTTTTAAATTGTTTCTGTTTGCTTCCTAGCGTTAGTAAGTTATTCCCGCCCAGCATATACGGAAGAAACCCATTGGGCACTTTAAAAGAAAAGCCTTGCGAAGAGAGTGCTCCTGGACACTAGAGAAAGCAAATTAAACATCTATTTCGATTCACTTTGCGGTTTTCTAAAATGTATATTTAGGGGTTATGATATCCGTTATTATTATTATTTATTATTGATACACATAAATATTGGTACAAGAAAGCACCAGATAAATATGCGCCACATAAATCTCGTTCGATTTGTGTGAGGGCTGTGTTACTGCCCAGGTGCCCAAACTGAAGCAGGATATGATATCCGTAGTATGGCAGGATTAACTTAGTCGACACTACATAGAGCATATGGACACACTTAGGCGTATATTACACTTTTCTATCTCTTTCCCATCGTAAAGTGCTTTTACAGCTCGAATTTCAGGAGCCAAACTGCCCGGAAATACAGTTATTCATGTTAAGTAGCCATTTTAGTTGTATACCAAATTTTCGTTTTGTAAGTTTATCGCGATTTCCTGGCAGCTCTTCATTGGTGTGTCAACTGACTAAGTTGTGCTTGAGCATATACCCTTTTTTATCTAATTCGTCGGTATAAATAAGCACTCAGTTAAATAGTGTAGGTAACATCAATCATACGTAATATTTATGTATATTACGTCTAAATCAAGGCCGGATATACGAATTTGTACATAACTAATAATTTACACATTCATTATCTAATTATTTTGTTAAAATGATTGTTCTTTTCATTGATTTTTAATATGTCGCCTTTCTAAATAATATTTGTGACGCATGTGGGTACTCCATAATATTGAGTTGGCCTTCGAAGCACCACTACTTTTTATTAGTACAGGGGGTTTGTAGAGATTGTTAGCATCTTGCTCGATCCTTGTTACCAACGTTATCTATACCTTCGTATGATTTGTTGACTTGAACACAGTAGTTATGTTTGCTTCTGATGTAACAATGAATAAATCGCAATACAAAGTTGTGTTAGCTGTATTATATTCCAAACAAGCTTGCCCTCAAGCAAAGCGATCTGAAAAATAGAACGGGTGAATGAATAAAATTCAAGTACATAAGTATGAATCACCGTATGTGTGTGTAAAAAATATCTAAACAGAAAAATAGTGTCTGTATCCAATGGGATATCATCAACACAAACATATACGTATATGTATGCACTGGTAAAAGTTCACAATTATTTATAAGTACGAAATAATCATGTTGAAATAATACCACTGACTTGAAAATTGGCTTATATCTTTTGAACACTGCTCAGGAGAATCGATAAACGAAATAACCAGAAAACGTGAATGATTGATCCGTCCGGAAATTAGAACGCGGTTCATACAAGTTTCGATAATGCAATGAGAAGACGAAGATTATCAGAACATAGTTCTGATAATCTTCGTCTTCTCATTGCATGATACAAGTTTATTAAATTTTCACAAGTTACCTTAAGTTAGACCGTCACTGAAAACCAGAAAGCACTAACTAGCTGTTTCATCCTAGTATGAGATTCTTCAACAACACGCTCCCACGAATTACTCAGGGTTTCAAACCCAGGACATTTGACTTATCACAGGAACGCCTAACATCTTGACCACAACCAGAATTTAACGATGAGTATCTAACTTCAATCAATTTACGATATCGTACGATATCTTTTGTTGCCAGTGGTGGGTAACTGTCTCATACTCGACATAGTTGTACCGCATGGCTTCTCATTCATACTCTGAATTCCATCCAGAAGTTGGTCATTATTGAACACAGGATTATTATCAGTATGGGCATTTTCATTGTCCACATTCACTGTTATAAGATGGATGGAGTTCCAAAATCACCTTATACCTTTCGGTCCCGCAAATTCATTAGTCCACGAATCATATTGTCTGTTTACTCTTCTCTTTGACTTTGATTTTTGACATTTTCGTCTCATTATAGTAATATAGTGTGACAAGTTGGATTGATGCATATACGTACGAGGTTCTATGTTGCGTATGACTGAGTCACTGAGACTAAGCCACATTGTCTATTTATATTTTACATTTGGTGACGCCGACTCAAGCTTCCTGGCGTTTTACTGACATTTTTATGTTTTTCCCTAAAACTACTTAAAATACTGAGCTATTTGGCAAAATTACTTCGATTTTCTCAGTAGTTGTAAGGAACACTTTATTAACAAAAGTAAATGGCCACTCACTTAAATCGTGCCCTAATAATTATAATTTCATTGTGAGCACTCAAACCATAGGCCAATATTATTTTATATATCGTCTGTTTATAGTATCCATAATTAGGGTTTTGTTGGGTCGCAATGCAGTGAGTCATCGTTTTGGAGAACACATTATAGATTAACTATCGTCTACGACATTTACTAAAGACTTTATAGTACTCATATTTAGGTTGATGTACGTTAATAGAGCTGTAACTCATGAGTTTAAGAGCTAGGTTTTCAACAAGCTCTGCCTATCAAGTTTTGTGCACTTGTTTAGTGAAATGTCAAAGTTTACAAACTAAGTAAGACATGAAGCTTAGTTCAAGTCTTATATGTAATTAGGGAGTTTCATTGCCTCTGCTTCAGTTGATTGTGGTTAGAATAGAAAAAGCTTTGGTTTCACAAGCTTTCTGGTCTAGCAACAGTGGATTATCAATACCTCCAGATCAGGACCTAGTTATATGAAAGTAATCAGAAATACCTAGTAAGTCGGTATCAGTCAGTTACTCAACGCGAAAGATAGACATTAAAACTGCTTAAACATCGTACCAAACTACCTTGAGGTGAACATAAATTTGATGGTTAACTATCTTAGTTGTTCTTGCAATACAGTCTTGACTTTCTCGTCGTTAGGCTGGACTATGGGGAATATTTCTGCTGTTCCTCTACTGTGTCCACTGTGACGCATATAAACGCGCTCTCATAGAGTATGACCAGAGTCTGCGCACGTGCTCCAAAATGAACGTCAGTCTTCCTTTGAGCTTCTGCAGCAATCCCCGATGGTGATATGGTCTATTTGCGTTCGTCGTCGAGTCTGTTTTGTGGGAGGGATTGTTATGTCAGACTATGTGAAGAGCAACATTAAATCTTTCGGAAAGTATAAAGCTTTCGCTTCAAGGACTCCGACAAAGTTTCTTGGGTGAGGCAGTAAGTTATAAAACGACTAATTCTAGAATGAGATATATGGATTCATCCCGACTTGGTATGTTAGAAATCCAGCTCACGAGTCTTCCCTCTATGGTTAATGTTAGCTTTAAATTTCAGTGTTGCGCATGATATACGGGAATGTTTGTGGTTTAGAAGTCTTCATGGGATTTCCCCCAAGTTGTTCAGATTCTAGGGAATATAGATCTAGTGTTTTCAAACATTCTTTGTAATATTTTAAACTTAGGATCACAAGCTGATCTTGTGGCTCATTTTTGTATACGCTCCCAAGTATTTATATCACTTCGAAACGGAGGAAACATGGTTTTATTACGTTGCGTGGAGCTGATAAAACTTGAAAATCAAATGGGAACCCTTACTAGCAAACTGTTGTTGACAGGTTTCGATTCACAACCAGAAACAAGAGCATTATTATATAGCTAACTTCAGCCTCTAGTAAAAATTTAGTATCATTTAAAAATTTTTTCTCTCATTATAGTCAGTTGGATTAAAAACCAAACTTGCTACGGGCGACTCGGTAAAAGTTGTTCCTGAACTTGTGAGAATTTCTGTCCGTCTTGATAATACGCAAAAACAAATATATCGTCCTTCTCATGTGGCATGTGGTCGAGCACATACTATTATATCCTATGAAAATTTGAAGGAGTCGAATAGTGATACACCTCCTCTTGTTTTCAGCCTGGGCAACAATGTTTTTGGGCAGTGTGGGAGAGAAATAGTTCCTGGCGAAAAGTACGATCATGATATGGAAATTATAACAAAAATAGTTTTGCCACCAGAAATAAAATCTATTAAACAAGTATGTTGAGGCATTTATAAGTTAGTTTGCACTGTGAATTTGTATGTAATTATTGGGTCGTATTTGATTAACTTTAGCATTCATTTATTTCTGTTCTTCTCGATCGTTGCTGCTACCTTGACGTGGTGGTCGGGCTTGCCTATCGTGATGAAGCAATCGAGCTATGTTGGCTGGAACAATCGTTCCTCGAGGTCCTAAAATGCACACCTCGCCCTATCCCACGGATTTCCGTCTCCGGCGGTAAGGTCCTTTGAAGAACGGAGCTAACACTTCGAAAATACCCCACAAAAAGGCCGTGCGTGACCGGCCTCAAGCAGTTGTCCCTTGGGCACTGCGGTCACGCTCCCAGGTCGTTCAGACCAACAATAATCCAACTTCTTTTTCAGGTCCCTCAATAAATACCCTTCCACGGTGTGGGCAGCCGGGAAGTGATAGATGCCCTCATACCCGTAACAGCACACGAGACCAAGTTGGTCACTTTCAAATCCTTCCTACACCTCCTAACAACTCTCTTATCTCCACGACTAACCCTTCCCACGTTCTTTTATCACCTCGCACCGCTAGGGCAAACGATTCGAGTACACGGAACGTTATTCCTGGTCTCCTGAAACCTCGCTCTAAACTACATATAGGAACTTTTAATGTCCGAACATTGTCCCAAATAGGACAACAGGCTTCCTTAGCTAGGACTCTAGAATCTTACACCATCGGTGTGTGCTGCGTCTCCGAAACGCGCATACAAGATCCGAGTAGCGTCATTCATTTGACCTCACCTAATCAAAATAAAGAACCATCTCGATACACGCTTCGTGTATCTGGAAGCCCTGATGCTGCTTCCCGTGGCCTCGCTGGAGTAGGTATAGCATTAAGTCCAAGGGCAGAACTAGCTCTTTTAGACTGGATCCCAGTAGACAGTCGTCTATGCGCTGTCCGACTAAACGGATCAGTAAGGACTCGGAAAGATAGGGAAACTCGTCGTTGCCTCTTCGTCATCTCTGCCTACTCTCCCACTGACTGCAGCTCAGACGATATAAAAGATGAGTTTTACAGGAAACTTTCTGACCTTCTCCGAAAAGCTAGGCGTTCTGATGTAGTAATAGTGGCTGGTGACTTTAATGCTCAAGTAGGTAAACTAAGTGAAAGGGAACACACATATATATACACATATATATTGGTACAAAAGGGCACCAGGTACATATGCGCCACACAAAATAATGAAAGTAGGAAGAAGGGATGAAAAGATAAGGCGGACTAAAATGTACAACCAGAAGACTCTTTCAGTTAAGAAAGTTAGAACCACTCTTTATGTAGAAAGTAAAAGCAGGTTGCAGCAGGATCGCCACTGGCTTCTATTCTGAGCCATATCTGATAACGTCTCTAGTAACTGTGTTGCACTATCTCTCGGACCCCAACCAGGGAGTCGTGAAGGACCAACGGAAGCTAGCCCTTTGCAGCTCTCTTTCATGCCACGACACCATGTCATACACTGACCTCCTCTCCGCTTTCTCCAACCAGTCCCAGGGTCGGCAAATAATGCACGACGTGGAAGTCTCTGGGACGACATTCGTAAAACATGTCCGGGCCACCGAAGTCGGTGTTTCAAGATGGTGACACCAATTGAATTATCGTCTCTGCGCCCGAACACACGATGCCGAACCTCCGCATTACTAACATGGTGTTGCCACTGTATGTCAGCAATACTTCGGAAACAACGATGATCGAGCACAGAGAGACATCTAACATCCTCAACTCGGAGAGGCCAGGTTTCACAAGCATAGAGCAAAACTGCTCTCACCGACGCGTTGTAGATCCGACCTTTTACAGCCAGACTAACATCACGAAGGCGCCAAAGATGGCCCAGATTGGCATAAGCCGTTCTGGCTTTCATTATACGTGCATCCATCTCATCACTCACGCCACCACCAGCACTTATAAAGCTACCTAGTTACACGAACTTCTCAACTACTTCAATCTGCTCACCATCCAGGGTGAGTACAGGATGAGAATCCTGCCAGTCTTGTAGGAGTACTTTGCACTTGGAGGGTGCAAAGCACATGCCGTACCTGCGGACACTGATTGCCTACTGATTAAGTGTAGATTGTATGCCTTGGGCATTATCGCACAGTAAGACAATATCATCCGCATACTCGAGGTCGAGAAGTCGTTCTCCAGGCAACATATCCACACCGCCATTACTTACATCCATCAGAGCTGTTTCTAGGATGTCGTCGATGGCAAAGTTGAAGAGGAATGGGGAGATCGGGCAACCCTGCCTAACCCCACTGCTCGAATGGAACAAGGGAGAAAGGTGGTTGTATGCCCTCACTCTGCCTGAGGTGTTCGTATACAGGGCCTTTAAGATGTTAATGAACTTCTCAGACACACCCTTCTTCAATAGACAATCCCAGAGAACAGTCCTGTCCAACGAATCGAAGGCCGCCCTGATATCAAGAAACACTACGATTGTTGGCCTGCGATAAGTATGACGGTGTTCTAACATTTGGCGGAGGGTGAAGATGTGATCAATGCATCCTCGACCAGAACGAAAACCAGCCTGCTCCTCGCGAGTCAATCGTTCTCGGGTTTTAAACAACCTACGAAGAATGATAGAAGCCAATAGTTTGGACGCAATCGAAAGTAGACTTATCCCCCGATAGTTATTGCAGGAACAACGTGAACCCTTTTTAAAGATAGGGACGACTATTGACTCATTCCATGATGTTGGAACACTTTCTTGCTCCCAAACCTTTCCAAACAGCACAGTCAATTCCTTAGTCAGAAGGTCACCACCATCTTTAAAAAGAGCCGGAGGTAAGTCATCTGGGCCCGGTGATTTGTAACGTTTCAAGAGTTGGAGTTCCTCGCGGACTTCCGCCTCGTTTGGTGGATCAGTCGTCACCGGCCATGGGGGCAGGACAAACTGGTTGATGTTACCGGAGCAGCAGGCCAGTTGAACTGCCCTTCGAAGAATTCCGCCCATCGTCCAAGACGTCGACAGATGTTAGTGATTGGCATCCCATCATCCTCGTAGATTGTTTCACTCACACCAGACTTCTTGCTGCCAGTGGCTCGGATGAGTTGGAAGAGCTTCCGGCAGTTACCAGATGCAGCTGCTGCTTCCATCTCATTAGCACGATCCGACCACCAGGCTTCCCGGTCCTTACGCAAGCTTTGCCCGATTTCATTACGTAACAGCCTTCGTTTGTGGTCAAACTCACGGTCACCCGGAGTAGACCGACGGACTTCCATTATTTGTGAGGAGCCAGAAGTAACCCAGTGCTTGTAAGCGGGACGTTTCGCGAAGCCGCAAGCGGCTTTACTCGCCATTTTCATGGCGTCGTGAAGAAGCAACCAATGCTCATCTATACTTTCCGGTGGGGTGGTAGCTAGCCTAGAGGCTGGCTCCGCTCGATACTTACTTGCAACAGAAGTTGCAGCCAGTTTACTAACATCAATCCGTTGGTGGTGGTCAATCCTTCGGCCACTGAAAAGTGAGGTGAGATTGGCGCAGACCAGGGCATGATCAGACTCCAGATAGGTACTCCAAAAGGAGCGGCAGTCTTGTACACAACCACGCCAGCGGTAGCTGATCGCGATGTGATCAATCTGAGTCCAGGCTTGGGATGCAGAGGGAGGACGCCAGGTGGCACACCGGCGATGACTGTGCCGGAAGTTAGTGCTAGCCAGAAACAGGTTGTGGTCTGTGCACAGTTGCAGCAAACGGTCCCCGTTATCTGTCCTGCGACCAACAAGTCCCCATCGGCCACCTAAACGACTCTCTTCTGTGCCTAGACGCCCGACCTGTGCATTCAAGTCTCCGGCTAGTACTACAATATCTGTCGAACGCGCTTTCTGGAGAAGAACTGTTAACTGATGGTAAAACTCATCCTTGATTGCATCCGGGCTGCAATCTGTCGGGGCATAGGCGGAGATGACAAAAAGACACCGTTTCTCACGCCGATTTCTCACTTTGATGGAACTTTCTAATCTAACAGCACATAACCGACTGTTAATGGGGATCCAATCGATTAGTGCTGCCTCAGCCCTAGCGCTTAGTGCGACACCAACGCCAGCAATAGACCAGACGAAGATGCCACAGGGTCCCCGGATAAGCGCTCGTGGAACAAGCTTTTCGAGGCGACAGATGGGGAGCGGATTTGTAGTACTTCACTAGAGTCTTGAATACGGGTCTCGGATAGACAACAAACATCAACATTAAGACCTTCCAAAGACATAGCCAGCCCTATCTGTTGTCTGATATGCATTAGTGTGCGAACGTTGAAGGAAGCCAGCTTGAACGCCGTACGTGGTTTCAGAAAGACTGCTTCAGTATTCGTAATCGGTGGAAGCATTCACTTTCAACGAGACAGTGACTGAAGATCGTTTAGATAGGACAGATTTTCCACCATGGGCGAGCTGCTGCATAAGTTGAAAAGTAAGGTTACACAAATTGGGGATAAAAGGGGGTGAGTTAGCGATATGGTAAATAATAATGTGAATTGTCTTGCTTCTAGTATGAGCAGGAATAGTATCGTCAATAGAATTCATCATTTCATTTATTTATGTGTGGGCTGTGATACTGCCCGGGTGCCCAAACCGAAGCAGGTGGTTTTCTTAGGGGGCCACACCCCGAGCCTTTGACCAAAAGGTCTGATCCACAAGCCAATGGAGCATTGTGAGGAGATGCAGTCCCATGGTAGCCGTTGACCAATGACAGGTTCGTCCGCCATTCGTTCCATCAGGATACTGGAGCCCATGTGTAAGTAAGTCTAAACTATGAACAGAAATCAGTCAGTCAGTCAGTTACAGCGTAGAACTTCGTACGTACGTACATCAGTTCGAGTTGCCACACCACATTAGCACAGAGATGAAGTTGTCGATTCAAATCCCATATTGGTAGAAGTAGTAAGAGTATAAGCATTTTGTGAAAGATTAGGGTTTGAAGATGTTATTGAAGGAGTATAATACAATGAAATAAATTTGGAAAGAGAAAAAGGATACAGACATGAAGAATTCAAAAGATTAGGATTTGGTAGAACACAAAGAGTGAATGCACCTTCGCCATTGCAAACGATTTTGAGCCATGTCATTCAAGGTCTCTAACCATCGGTTGCTATCATCTCGCGAATCCCAACCAGGTAGTCTACACCTACCAACATGGCCCAGTCCACTTGTCAGTGACTTCATGGATTTATGCCATGTTTTGGTGTGGCCGCCCCTAGCTTTCTTCCAACCTACTCCTACACCATAAAACATTGCACGTAGGGGCAGTCGGTGGTTGGGCATACGTAACACGTGTCCCACCCATCTCAACTGATGAAGTTTCACTACTTTATCAATCGATTTGCCATCCTTACCTAGTACTCGTTTCCTAACCTCTGCATTACTTACCCGGTGGTCCCAGGATATACGAGCAATGCGTCGAAGACACCTATGATCGAACACTAGTAGCCTACGAATATCCTCTACTCTTATCGGCCATGCTTCACTGCCATAAAGTAGGATGGAACAAACTGCTGCACAGTAAACCCGTCCTTTTGTTGCTAGACGGATTTCTCGCCTACGCCATAAATGGCGCAAGTTGACGAAAGCTAGACGTGCCTTATGTATCCGTGCTGATATTTCGTCACACACCAGACCACAAGGGCTGATGAGACTCCCAAGATAAGTGAAGCAGTCAACACGCTCAACTTCTTCACTCCCTATCATTAGTTCAGGTGTCGATGCAACCCAATCCTGAAGTAACATTTTGCACTTCGAGGGAGAGAATCACATCCCGAACATGCCTGTATTGTTGCTTATAGTAGTCAGAAGACTTTGCATTTTGTCAGAGTCTTCACCGAATAAAACTATGTCGTCGGCGTATTCTAAGTCAATGAGTGAACCTCCCGGTAAAAGTTCAACTCCAGGAGATTGAGATGATAAAAGTGATACCTCTAAAAGCATGTCAACGACAAAGTTAAACAAGAATGGGGAGAGTGGACAGCCCTGACGAACACCACTTGAGGTAACCAATTCTGATGACAGTTCGCCATAAGCTCTAACTCGACCAGTAGTGTTCGAGTAGAGAGCCTTTATGAGGTTAATGTACTTCTTTGGTACTTCTTTCACTGACAAACACTGCCATAGAACCTCACGATCAACGGAGTAAAATGCCGCCTTAAGGTCAAGAAATACTACTATTGTGGGACGTCTGAATGTATGTCTATGTTCTAGGACCTGACGTAGGGTGAATATCTGGTCTATGCAACCACGTCCAGGTCGAAAACCAGCCTGGTTTTCTCTAGTCTGCTCTTCACGAGTTTAGGTTAGGCGTCAAAGTAGCGTTGAAGCTAATATTTTAGACACTATATTAGTCAAACTGATCCCCCTGTGATTGTCACAGGAGGACTTTTGTCCTTTCTTATAGACTGGCACAATCAGTGATTGGAACCAGTCAGATGGAATTACGTCCAGTTCCCAGATTCTACCTATGACCTCAGTCAATCTCGTTGCTAGTACTGGACCACCATCCTTAAAAATCTCAGGGGTAAACCTGTCAGGGCCTGCGGCTCTCCCTCGCTTTAAATTTCCTATAGCTTTTTCAACCTCGTGGAGAGTTGGAGGACTTACCTCAATTTGCCATTCAGGACGACTGGGGATCGTGGATAACTGAAGTGTGGCTAAAGGCCAGTTGAACTGATCTCTAAAGTGTTCTGCCCATCGATCCAATCTCATGGATTGAGAATGAATGATATGCCCGTCTTTGTCTGAGATAGTTTCGCTAATAGTTGGGTTCCTAATGCCGGTTTCTTTAATAAGTCTGAACAGCTGTCTGCTGTTACCTATTGCCGCTGCCTTTTCCATCTCTCTTGCTTTCGCTACCCACCACTGTTCACGATCATTGCGTAGGCTTCTTATTAGCCTTCGCTTAAGCTGACTCCGCTCTTCGTTATGTTCAGAGCCAGGTCGGATGAGTTTTCGAGCATCTATCAGTGCGGTAGATGCTACCGAGATCCACTGTTTCTCCCTGACCTTATGGCTTACCTTACTAGCGGATATCACTGCTGTTTCCACAGCTTTTCGGATGTCATTCCACGCTGCTTCGGGGTGGACACAACTTACATGTTTGTCTAACTGTTTTTCCAGTTGTTCCTGAAATATATTCCTAGCTTGCTTATCATTAAGTAGAACCCTTAGAGGCTTCCCTGTAGTGTCTTTCCTACGTCCAGTAAGTCGCAGACAGATACGTGCTCGCACTAGAGCATGATCTGAATCTCAACATGTGCTCCAGAATGAGCGACAGTCTTCTATCGAGCCCCTCCATCGGTGACTGATAGCGATGTGATCTAATTGGGTCCAACGTTGGGACGAATTCGGGGGTCGCCATGTCAAAAGATGTTTTTCCTTATGCTTAGAGTTAGTATTTGCAAGAAATAGGCGGTTATCTGAGCATAGCGGCAACAGACGGTCGCCATTATCTGTTCTTTCCGCCATGACACCATAAGATCCTCCCAAATGTCTTTCCCTTTCACATAGTTTACCTACTTGAGCATTAAAGTCACCTGCTACTATTACTACATCAGAACGCCTAGCTTCTCGGAGAAGGTCAGAAAGTTTCCTGTAGAACTCACCTTTTATATCGTCTGAGCTGCAGTCAGTGGGAGAGTAGGCAGAGACGACGAAGAGGCAACGACGAGTTTCCCTATCTTTCCGGGTCCTTACTGATCCGTTTAGTCGGACAGCGCATAGACGACTGTCTACTGGGATCCAGTCTAAAAGAGCTAGTTCTGCCCTTGGACTTAATGCTATACCTACTCCAGCGAGGCCACGGGAAGCAGCATCAGGGCTTCCAGATACACGAAGCGTGTATCGAGATGGTTCTTTATTTTGATTAGGTGAGGTCAAATGAATGACGCTACTCGGATCTTGTATGCGCGTTTCGGAGACGCAGCACACACCGATGGTGTAAGATTCTAGAGTCCTAGCTAAGGAAGCCTGTTGTCCTATTTGGGACAATGTTCGGACATTAAAAGTTCCTATATGTAGTTTAGAGCGAGGTTTCAGGAGACCAGGAATAACGTTCCGTGTACTCGAATCGTTTGCCCTAGCGGTGCGAGGTGATAAAAGAACGTGGGAAGGGTTAGTCGTGGAGATAAGAGAGTTGTTAGGAGGTGTAGGAAGGATTTGAAAGTGACCAACTTGGTCTCGTGTGCTGTTACGGGTATGAGGGCATCTATCACTTCCCGGCTGCCCACACCGTGGAAGGGTATTTATTGAGGGACCTGAAAAAGAAGTTGGATTATTGTTGGTCTGAACGACCTGGGAGCGTGACCGCAGTGCCCAAGGGACAACTGCTTGAGGCCGGTCACGCACGGCCTTTTTGTGGGGTATTTTCGAAGTGTTAGCTCCGTTCTTCAAAGGACCTTACCGCCGGAGACGGAAATCCGTGGGATAGGGCGAGGTGTGCATTTTTAGGGTCGACCTTTTCTAACCCCACCCCTCTTTGAGGGCAGCATCGCTGTCATGCTGGTTGTATGAAGGAAACATCTTTCTGTCGTTACACCTCTGCACAGTCGGCAGTACGACTTCGCCCTCGGACCTTGGGATTGCTGCTTTTAGTCTTACCGCTCTTCAAACGACCTGTCTGGCATGGTAGGACCTCGAGGAACGATTGTTCCAGCCAGCATAGCTCGATTGCTTCATCACAATATGAAAGCCCTACCACCATGTCAAGGTAGCAGCAACGGTCGAGTCAGGACAAACTGTGAACCGTATGTGGGGAAATTCGAGCACTTCACTTCTGCCTGAAGATGGTGTTGATGATATCGTTCAGAATAACGATGAAACCACGACCAAACCATCCAGCTCAGAGAACGAAACTCCACCAAAATATTTTCCTTTCTATGTTTTCATGATGATCGCGGTCCACGTTGCAATTAACCTAACATGGAAAAATTATTTACTAAAGTCTTCATATTTTACTTTGCTTTTTTCATAGTTAGTTTGTGGCCAAGATCATACCTTGTTGCTCAGTTCAGATGGTGTTGTTTATTCCTGTGGACTTGGATCAGATGGTCAGACTGGTTTGGGCCATTATAATGTGGTTGATCGATTTACTGCTGTAAAGGGTTCATTGATGAATGAACGTGTTTGGTAAGCTTTTAAAACTCTTCTCAGCTTAACCCGGTGTTTATGCTTCACAGAGCACTTTATATCATACTTGTTCATAGGTTGTAAGCAAAATATTTATCATCGATTCACTATCTGTACATTATTTTTATCCCACGTGACATCATGGCCATGTAAGCAAGGGTGTGTTTACAATTTACTGACCATAATCAGGAGGTATGGGATTTCTTCGTTCTAAACACGTCGAAATCTATTATAAGTCGTGTACATCCGGCACAATAACATACCTGAACCGCACGTTCAGTAATACCTTGAAAGAGGCATCTGTCAATCTGTTTGATAAACGGTAACTGTTATGTCTGTTATATCCGTCACTTGGACGGTATATAATTAATATGAGCATTACAAGTGTGATTGGCTTCTTCTCGAGAACTTGAAAACATTTTTGAAGACCCATCTTTATTCGTATTTCGAGTGTGTTGTGAAGTATCGCTGAGGTGTCGTTGTGTTATTATCTGTTCGGTATATGATATCTGTTTCATATTTGGCCCGTGTTTTTTTTCAGTACAAATCATAACACAAAGTTACTTAAACTTGAAAATAGAATAAGGACTGTTATGTTTTAGTGTGAATATCGTGGAAAAGTATTCGATAAATCACCTGATTACTTTGTAAAACGTTGCCCAACCACTGACTGCCCCGACGTGCAATGCTTTATGGTGTAGGAGTAGGTTGGAAGAAAGCTAGGGGCGGCCACACCAAAACATGGCATAAATCCATGAAGTCACTGACAAGTGGACTGGGCCATGTTGGTAGGTGTAGACTACCTGGTTGGGATTCGCGAGATGATAGCAACCGATGGTTAGAGACCTTGAATGACATGGCTCAAAATCGTTTGCAATGGCGAAGGTGCATTCACTCTTTGTGTTCTACCAAATCCTAATCTTTTGAATTCTTCATGTCTGTATCCTTTTTCTCTTTCCAAATTTATTTCATTGTATTATACTCCTTCAATAACATCTTCAAACCCTAATCTTTCACAAAATGCTTATACTCTTACTACTTCTACCAATATGGGATTTGAATCGACAACTTCATCTCTGTGCTAATGTGGTGTGGCAACTCGAACTGATGTACGTACGTACGAAGTTCTACGCTGTAACTGACTGACTGACTTGCCCTGTAGACCTCGATCTTGTTGATGTCGTTCAGAATAACGATGAAAGCTCCATGACCAAACCATCCAACTCAGAGAACACAACTCCACCAAAATCATCCACCTGAGCTATAAAACCTCTCCATTATACGAAAAAATTGTTGGATAGTTTCTATTTATCGTGACTGCAACTGTTTGACATTTAACTAAAAGACCAGAGTATAATATGACTGACTGAAACAGTTTGTTATTGTATGTTTGTCAGGTATATGAAAAGAGCCGTTGGTTATTGGTTGACTTATTAAGCTTTCAACCAAGTAGTTGTAAGTCTAAACTCTGTTCTATTTACTTTGGTTTGGGCAGATGGATAGTGTTATCATTCCTCACGCATACATTTTGACTCAGAATGTAATACAAAGGCTCGTGCCATAATTATGAGCAAATTATTTCATACAACAACAGCTTTGGCTGAAATTATGAAAAAAGCCTTAAAGACTCGATAATCTCATGTTTACTAAATAAATTCAAGTTCATTGCTATGATTTTTTTTTGTAGTACAAGCTAACTACTAGTCTAGTGATTTACCATTTTGTTGATTCTTTTTAATTTGTGATAGTGAGAGTAAAATGCAATTTGCCACTGAATGTGGACAAACATGCACCCAACTTACTGATTTAAATATGTGATTTCCTTTTCTCTTATTGATTTCTGATCTGGACTCACTGAGATTGACTACTTAGAACGGTGTGGAGTAAATTATAATCTATCATTACTCTAGCTCTTTATTTTTGGCCGTGAATTGTGTATCCTCTATAACGGGATCTAGTCTGTGTATTGTTTAGCGTTCAAATATCCAATCTAGTATAGCGTAGTATATTGCAGATAATTTAAGCCATCCTTCATATCATTTTTTAAACATTTACATCAGATAAAATCGTGTATTTTAATGAGTGGTTGTACTGTTTTACTTTACTATTAGGATCGTTGTGGATCTAATCTTATTCTTATTGAAATCTCTCAAATTTATTGAGCTGTAAATCTTCTAATTATGCATATTTAACTCCTAATTACTTTAATATTATTTCAGTTTTATTTTATTTGCTGGTATCTATTGCATTCTAGTTAATCCCATCCGAAATTCTATTACTGATATTACTGGTAATCACAGAAAATTGTGTAACGTTTAATAGTTGCATTTCTGACATTTTTATACCGAGTTAACAATAACGTGTTTTGAATTGTTCTTTTTTTCTTTAAAAAACACATAAGTCTGCTATCGTCTCGCGGTGATACTGTTCTTGCGCTTACTGAATCAAATAAATTATTTGCTTGGGGTAATAATGAATACGGTCAAATATGGCCATTAGATCAGGATATACAAGTTCCAGAACCTGTTCACTTAAATTTAGATCATTGTATTGTACCGATAGAATCTCATTTATCTTCAGATAATGTTCATGTAGGTGAAATACAATCAATTGCTTGTGCCGGTTCTATGTGTTGTATTGTTAATAAAATTGGACAGGTAAACTTGATTATTTTATAGGTTAATTAAAAATTGTATTTTAATTTAATTTAGTTTTTTTTCTTCATTTCAAATAATATTGATATCATTAATTGTAGAACATTTAATCACTTTAATATAAAATTATTAATAAGGAAATAATCTAGAAAATGAAGCTTATTATATTCTATTATTTAGTATTCCTTGACCACTATACTTCTCTGAACTTTTTTTGAATCAGAACAAGAATTGAGAAAAGATAATAGTTTATTCTAATAAACTTAACAAGATCTCCTTGTAGAAACATTCAAGTTTACATACAAATTTTCTAGCCTATCCTCAATTCGTTCAGTGGCGCTAATTAATTGAGAACGTCAATCAATCAGCTTATTCCATTTTGATTTTAAGTATAGAATAGTCAGGGCAATATATTGCTAACAGGGTTATCTTCAAACTAATACCTATACTTAGAATATTACGAGTGTATCATTAGTTCTGTTATTGTTGAACTAGATAGTTATCATTGTTCAGTCCATTGTCCTCGATGATATTTATATCATTTTGAACGTGATTGATCTACAGTGATGAACCTTTATCACTAGATCTTTGAGAGTTATTCACGAAGCTGGTCTCCTTACCAAACATATAAGAAGTATTATTACTAAAGTGGGTTTTGGGAGATTAGTCCGATCGAAAGAAATAACTTTTCTCTACTTCTTGCTTTTCAGTTATTCCCCAACTAATGAAATGTCCGTTCATCATAAAAACTGTCTTAATATTGAACAAGTCTCCACTAATTCCCTTATATTTTAATACTACTATTTTTCATTTAATTTAGATTTTTTTGAAAATTACGTTCTTATCACTGTTAAAAGACAATGCATTATACTTCATTCATTTTATTTTTCATATGCATTTGTATCTAATCAAGGTATTCGTTTGGGGCTTTGGATGCATTGGATTAGGTCCAAAAGTTACTTGTTCACCTCGTCCAACATTGATTCCACCTGGTTTGTTTATGCCAGCTATTGTAAATAGTGAATCTTGTATTAATTATGTTGCTGCCGGTCTACATCATTTTATTGTTCAAAGTAATGATGGTTTATTATGGGCCTGGGGTGCTCCACGTGGTGGTCTATATTGTCTAGGCTTAGGTAAACAAATTACAAGTAATTCTGTTAATCAAACCTACCCAGTCTCATTACTTCTTCCAATTAAATCTAAAGATGTAGTATGCGGTGTTGATCATACTGTTGTGATTGGCAAATCGTTTGGTTAATATTTACTGATTACTCGTTGTTCATATATTATTTATTGTAAATATGCAGACATTTCCTCACGGAACTAGCACTTTAACAAAGAAATTTCAGATATATATTTATATGTATACAATTGTACAGCGTGATAGTAAATTCGTTGAAAGAGTTCCCTTCGCTGAACTTCGTGTTTTTAATATATATGTACTGTAATTCTACCCTTCTGTATTACATAACTATTATTCAATAATTGTGTGTTCGATAGTTCAGTCTGTATTGTATTATCCGCATTACAATTTTGTGTAATAAAAATATATTGGAGGCAATCTGTTTTACTTATATTCTTTTTTGTAGTTAGCTTGATTTGTTTTATTAACTTAACTTACTCATCATTTATCGGGGCTTTTATTCTTCACATTGAACTTGAATCCAGTAGATTCAAGTAAGAATACTCTTAATACCTAGTTATTTTTCACATTGTTTATTCAATACACGAAATATACCTATGAAATGGATCTGTTAACTAAGAATTAGAATTACAATAATATGTCTCTTGATTACTACATCAACTAATTTACAAAGTAGATTGACTATTAGGATTTAAGTTTTTGGCCTTTTTGTTGAAGCTATTGGTTCACATTTCTGAGAGAATGACTGCTATTTTTTCAGGAAAGGGAAGAATAGGAAATCGAGCAATAAGATATTCAGTATGATTGGGTTCATTTTTATAGAATATTTAGTTTCAAGAAGTCAGACCAAAAAGTAAAATGCATCTACCTAGTTAAAGTATATTGTTTGCCATATTTATCCATTGCAGCTCTTAATTAACAAATAAATATTTAATATCAGAATGGAGTTTTGTGGATACTGTAGTAATTTTAATAGTTGAGATCATGAGTCAATTGAAGCTAGACCACCATGGAAAACCTGGAAGCACCAGACTGCCGTTTCGTCTTATCATGGGACTCCTCAGCAGTGTGCATCCACGTTCCTGCTCGCGGGATCGGAACCCAGGACCTTCGGTCTCGCGCGCAAATGCTCAACCTCTACTCTACTGAGCCGGCATCCAACGGTGTTAATGTCTAACTTCAACCGATTCACGAAATTGCACCACCGTTTGAGATATCGGTGTTTGAATAAGTATTTGTAGGCACTTGGGACTTCACACGCCACGTAGTCTATTGTTCTCCCAAAGCTGTCCTATCGTTTCATCAAGTTTCTTAAACAGTGATATGAACTACATACTGACCCACTCTTTCTAGGAACGTCACTTTTAAATAATCTATGAGATCATACAACACTTATTTGTCTTCAAGAAACCTTTGATAGTTACAGCTTGTATAGAAGATACTGTAGCTTCTTATCAGTTAAATTGGCCCTACATTTTGTCTCCACCCAAGTAGTATTAAGATTCTAGCAAGTTGAGACTAATAGATCAATAGCATATATATTTTGTTCGGGGAGGAAATCAGTGTTCTAAGATAGTCCCGTAGGAGATTCGTACTGATCACCTACGAATATGATGGTCTAAAACTAAAGGTTTCCAGGAAATTTATAAACTGGTTATTTTAATAGACTCACCTCAGTCGCTTTTTAGCAAATATGTTCATCAAAATAAGTCACTTCATAACATATATAGGGTTAATGAATATTTGGTTTCCTGGTATCCGTTAGTAAGAGACTAAAACAGCTACAATTTGAGTACTAGTTGTTACCATTATTACCTTTGAAAACAATCTCATTTCATTGTTTGGAGATATTTCGTCCACAATTAATGTTTATAGAAGAAACGAAAGCGATATGATTTTCAAATGTCTCTAAAATAAAAATTAGTTTTTGTCCCCCACTTAGTTGTTTTTATTTGCAAGTGGGTCTTTACTTTCATCTTGATATTGATTGAATGAGTTTGTTAAATAGAAGTTTATAGACCTCGACAACTCAAATTTCATTACAACCGCTGAAAGTACTTGAGAATTCCCAATTATTTTTTTCTTGATTGTATAAACTGAGGCTTAAATTAACGATTATAAACATCCAAGCAACTAAGCTTGTTTTATATTTTTAATATCTTTGTGATTTATAGCTGGCTATTCTCAACACTCATTTCAACTATCCGAGATCTGTAGGGTTTTCGGGCTTGTGAGCGATTTCAGAGAATTTTATTTCTGTTTGTTCCCTTCCACATTGCTTGGTTTGGCTATGCGTTTAGTATTAATAGATCACAAATAAGCTGATATAAAAGCGTTAAAAAAATAAATCATAGAATCTACTAATAGAGTATGAGTTTTTATTTATATTTGGTAGTATTGTGTTACTGTGTTTGTTGACGTCGCTTACTTAACATTTCATGGTTATATTTTGTTTAATTTTTTTAACATTTCTAGATAAAGCGGTGATAAACAACTTTGTATTATAGAAGTTGTATTTAAGACAATTATATCTATGCTTATATAATTCTCAACTCTGCAATTATCGTCAAAATTTCATCATTCAACTGCAACATATTATTACGTTCTGTATTTCTTCGATTATGTCAAAGTAATTCACTATCTAATTTTCCATTGGAGAAATATAATGCTTATGATATATTAGGTGTAAAACAATCTGCAACTTCTAGTGAAATTAAATCTGCTTATTATAATTTGTCGAAATGTTTACATCCAGATCGATTACTTCATACTAATCCGGAGAAATTGAGGAAGGAAGAATTTCAACTGGTCACGGCCGCCTATGAATTACTTCGTGATCAGGAAACTCGATCACAGTATGATCGATATTTAGCAAGTAGTTACTTGATCCAAACAGATAAAATTGATGTGAGTTTTAGAGATTGAAATTTGCTTTCGTTTCTCACCACAGGGTGTTACGGAAGTTGTTGAGTTTTAATTTTCAAATCACACAATGAATTCTGCTAAGCAATCACTAAAGGGCCATTTCGTCCCGTTGTGGGACTCCTCAATAGCACGACCACCAGGTGATCTAACCCCAAGGCCATGCAGCTTTATGACGAGCACCTAACCTTCAGGTCACTGGGTTGGAATCCAATGATTTACATTTATAACTTCAATCAATTCACGATATTACACAACTGTCGTCCATTGCCATCGGTGGTATTTGTCTCACGCTTGACATAGTTTCCGCTTTTTCCAAATGAAATTCATCGTATCTATATTTCATTCGGCTCAATGACATTTTTCAACTAGGCTTCAACTAGTTTGTCTTATGTATAAATTTCGTTAGGTTCGCGTTCATTTTGTTGTTGAATACTTCTTTGAATCAGTTGTTAATTAATAATTAGTGAACTGAAGATAATAGTAATAATATATGTTATGAAAATAATAATTGCAGAATTCCGTTTACAGGCATGATCAGCTTGATATAAATAGTAGCATTAAATGTAGAGAACAAACATCTGATATAAGATTGTTTTAGGTTTACTAGTTCAAAAATTATTTAGATAATACATTTATGGCATGTATTGCAGCAATAGAATGCATCGGCCGGGAACTTTCAATTCTTAAGGGGACATACTGTTGATGTATGGACGGTACATTTAAGGTCATTTCTTGCGCCATAACGGATTGATTGTAACCATCTAAAGCTATAGAAAATAAAGTCGAAGCAGAGAGCACGCAACAAAAACGGCAATAATTATTACAATAGGTTAGTTAGGTCTACAAGAATAAAAATGTCAGGTTATTTTCTGATCTACTATTCGTGTTAAATATTATTCAAATTAGCTAGGGTTACCAGGATCGGTGTTAACGTAAACTAACAGCAAGTAGGTGTGTTATATCCCGAAGAGAATTATAAATGGCAACTTTTGAGAACTATTTATGGGCCAATATGATACGTATATTTCCTATTGTATAATTGTTAAGTAAATTAACTATTCATTTTCATTTTCCTTTTATTATAAGATTTGTTTTGACGTATGAACTATTACTATACGATCTACCGTTCTTGAATTAACCCCAGTTTATTAATTACTGCCTCCCACATTCACAGCCACATTTGGCTTAATCTTGTACAGATGTTATTTTCTATTTTATGGTACCATGTGGTCGGTTTGTTTGGTATATAAACCCAGTATGTTTGGGAATAATGATTCATAATGCAGAGGCTGTTATTGGTGTTCTGAATTTAATTGTCTGAACTAGGCAGATAGCAGGACCGACTAGTGCTCTAGACTGCTCGTACGGGTTCCATGTGTCATTGGTCCGATCGATAATTCAGTGCTCTGTAATTGGCGTTATTATCACGTTATATATTAACGGGCAATACAGGCTACAAGTTATAACAATTGGCGGCCACAAGATATAACAGGTGGTTTTACTTAGTGAGTTCAGTAACAAGAATGGCTAAACATTTAAAGTTCCTATAATCTCACTTGTGAAGTAAGATACACTTACAGGTGCTAGAAAATTTAGTGCATTTTCAGAGGAGCAGCAAGCATCGGTCCAGCGAACAGAGGATGAGAGTGATTTTATCTTACGGATAGATTGTGGTAGATTATCCCAGAGTCTGGGGAACTTACAGAGAGGTGATTTAGAATGGGTTTGTTTCACTAATAACAAGGAGTTATGGATGATAAACTGTTCTAATTGTTTGTGCATAGGATGCAGTATTGATTTACACATATGATTCTAAAGTGTTTATATCGCTTGGCAATTCAATTCAGTCAATCTGAACACTAAAAAAAGTTTTGCTCTCGGTTTGCAGCACATTTTCAAATCAAAATACCATTTCATTAATTATTTACTGTGTAAAGAAATATAACACTTGACAAGATATTTGATTCATGTTATCTGGTTGAGGTTAATAATCACGAAGGCCCTAAACATAAGTGTCGTGAGAGTTGACTTTCATCAGTAAGTGATAAATACAATCTTGAGGAGACTGATGCTTCCTGGTGAATCTGGACTCACTCTATCCAGGTTCATAATCTTGGACGTTATCGTTGAGCTATACTAACGACAGCTAACCTTCCATAGTAATAAGATACACTGATCCATTGAGTTATAACCAATATCGTGTTTGTCTAATCTGATCGATATGATTTGAGCACCACTTGCCACTACTAAGTGATCAATCAATATTTGATTTATTAAAATCAGTAGGTTGAACATTTATGTTTCATAACTTCAAATTTATCTTTCAGTAGCTCATACGTAGTTCAATAATGACATTTTCAGTCCATCTGTTCTATAAAGATATATCTCCTCGTTTCTTTAAAATATGTGTTTATTCTTTTTTGTCAGTTTTATTTATTTATTTCTATTGGGAATTACAGTATATCCTACAACCGAATAATATTTTGACATTCCATGGTGTTACTGTAAGAATGTCCGTTTGGAAACGTTTACGTTTTCTGTAAATTATATATAGATATATGAAATTATTTATTTATTGTCTAATGTTTTTACTAGCCAACATCATTTATAGAAAAAGCCTTGCACTAAATTCTTCAACTTCTTTTTTATATCTTCCCTAAAATGTAGAAATCGGCAAATTTCGATGCTGAATTTCAACATGCACATAATTTATATATGCGACACCGGAAATCCAAAACATATAAATCATATCGATGTGGACCGGATGAAGTTGTGGAAGAATTTAGAAGTAAAATTAAAACAAACGTCCACCCTAAAAATATATCGGATTATTATGCACGTCAACCTCAATCACATATATACACTCCATCATTTTTATTAACTATTATGTTAAGTACCTTTTTAGTGTATTGTATATTGAAACTAAATTGAACAGAAGTGACGTTTACTCTGAAAGTTAAAAATAGTTAGGTTCAATTACTTGTTCTGTAAAAGTATTGTACAATACACGGATGAGTCAACCAGTACTGAGATAAAGACTTTTGGAATCAAAACTGACTATCTAATGTCACGTAAATATTGTAGTAGTGATACAATTATTTAGTGTGCAGAATGTGTAAAATGATAAATGCGAATTACTTCGTACGATCATGAGGTAAAGACTATAATGTTAGGAGTATCAAATCCCCAATTTTTTCCATTTGGATTGTTTATAACATTCAAGTCAATCATGTCCTTAACTCCCGATCTAAATACTAGCTTCAAGAGATTTATTTTTTAATGTCTTTAAAATGGACTAATCTGTCAAAGTTCTCGACTTCTTGTAAAGTGTTTATGGCGGTATCAGTTATTTTTGCAATTATTGAGCTGCAGTCTAGTAAATTCCAATTCAGATTTTTTCCGAAATAGATGAATTACCGATGCTAATGCATAATCATAGTAATAATCACCATAAAATCAAAGGAATGAACTTATTTGGTGCCATTTGTTACTGTGAATCTTACCACGTACAGTGTAAAGATTGCTGGAACAAAGATATTTGTAGAGTATGTGTTAATATAAGACGAATAAGTAAAAATAGGAAGCTATTCTCTGAGAGTTCAGTATGCACGTTCCTAATGTCTATTTATTCAGCGCTTGGTTCGGTATTTACATATAGTCTTAGTTTTAAGCTTCTAGTTAAAACCATCACCGTCACAATATCACTGACCGTCCGTAGAATATAGTTCTAAAGATAAAGCATGATGAACTAATCAATAACCATTATTAATTAACGTATTAGCTAAAAGCCTCATTTCTACTTCAATAGTATCACTAGTACAAATACGATTGATTCTATTGAATAAGCCCTTCATGAAATCACGTTTGTAATGAATTGGACAGTGACTATGGAAATTAAGGTATTGCCCCGTCCATGTCGACTTTCTATATATAGAACGTTGGATTGAACCATCTTCTCTTCTACTGATCAGTATATCTAGAAAAGGAAGTTGGTTGTTCTGTATAATTGGCTATATAATAATTGGCTATAATAAGCTATATAGACTACGTACAACTCATCTAATTCAGTTTTACACAACAAACTGATAATTAATCCTAAGGGAATGATTTCCAGAATCTCTTAACATATTCCGCAATTTACTGCATAGATAATAGATATCCAGTAAGCTTTGGGTAGTAAAAATCCGAAGAGAAGATCAACGATTAGGAACAAGTTTTCTACAATCAGCTGTGTATCATCTATGATCTTAGGTCAATAATTACTAATACCTGTTGCCTCTCGAGGATAAGCTTTCGCCAAACACCAGGATTCTCCATCCAATTCTGTCCTGAACAAGTGGCTATTCATTCTTTTGATGTCTGCTTTCAATTTCCAACTCAATTAGTTCCTCTTCAGGATTCTAAGTTAGCGATTGCCTCGTGATACAGTTTAATGATTTTCCTAATGTATGTCCTATCCACCTCCATCATCTTTTCCTAATTTCCTCTTCAGCACGAACCTGGCTTGTTCTCTCCCACAGTAGGCTGTCGCGAATGGTATCCGTTCAACGGACGTTAAGTATCTTGTGTAGACAATTGTTTATAAATACCTGTACATTTTTGATGATAGTTTATTATTTATTTGAACACATAAATATTGGTACAAGGGGGACCGAATACATATGCGCCGCACAAATCTCATTCGATTTGTGTCAGGGCTGTGATACTGCCCAAGTGCTTAAACTGAAGCAAGTCGTGTTCTTAGGGGGCCACACCCCGAGCCTTTGACGTAAAGGTCTGATCCACAGGGCAGTGGAGCATCGTGAGGAGATGAAGTTACATGGTAGCCGGTGACCAACAATTGGTTCATACGCCATTTGTTCCCTCAGGATACTGGAGCACATGTGCACCATTGGTTTGGAATCAGGGTTTTCCAACTCCCCTAGGTGGACCCTCCGCGTCCACCAACCCTTTTGAAGCGTCCGATAATCGCTTTTCGTCCTCTCACTTTCGTGAACAACTCTCCCCACGAGAAGGCAGTGAGTAGGATTTCCCTGGCAGAAGCTATATATGCGTGGCCATATGAGAGCAATTCAAGAGGGAGAGCGGACTTTTCCCACTCTTGGTCGTACCAGAGCATTTAGGGGCTTTGATGATAGTTGTCCAAGTTTCCGTTGTGTACAGTAGAACTGTCTTCAGGTTCGTGTTGAATATCCTGATTTTGATATTGACTAACGGTTGTCTTGAGTTCCATATGTTATTTAACTGTAGGAATGTTGCCGTGGTTTTGCCAACTCTGGCCTTTATGTCTGCATCCGATCCCCCTTGTTCATCGATGATGCTGCCCAGGTAGGTGAAGGTCTCCAAATCTTCCAGAGCCTCTCCACCAAGTGTGATTAGGTTGGTGTTCTCCGTGTTGTATTTGAGGATCTTGGTGTTTCCATTCTGTTTGTTGAGGCCTACTAATTCAGGATCTGCGTGAACACTGGAGACTACATGCGTACACGTCTATACTATGTGGTGCCAGTAGAATAATCTGATCAGTTAGCTAACCAGGCCTACCCTCCAACTGCTTATTACCATTGTGTAAGCTAAGCATAGCGACGAACGATTAAGTGAAGAATTCTTTGAGTTAATGCCTTATGATGTGAAAATTGTCAAGTTCATAATGCAAAACAATGCAATTTATATATGTCGAAAGTGTTTAAAGGTCCCACTTGTGCTAGATTGCTAATGCTTCAGGAATCAGCTTCCACTAACTGAGAATCATATCAGACATAAGTTTTGAGCTAGAAATTGCAATCCAATAATTATATTAATTGTGTATTTATTATAAATCGATAGAACGGAACAAATCCTATGTGCTTCTCTTAACAGTCTGCGTCTGAGACTAGAAATAAATCATAGCTGTCACAAGAAATGCCGCACATGAATGAAATGGTATGATAACGTTACACCAACTGCTATGCTCATACACCATGTTGAAGTAGTCACGCCAGCGTTTTTATGACCTACATCACTTAAACTTGCTTATTTAGACTTTCAAAACTTTGGTCGTTGTCGCGTAACTTCTGGTAGACTAAAGTCTAATTATATACTGATATACGGTAATGGACTTACACCTTATAATACCTGGAGATCTGAATTGGAATTGTCTTAATTAGGTTTTTCTTCCACTTCGTTAACATGATAATGTTGATATATTTATCAACGACCTTTTACAGAAGCCTATCTAATTACTTTATAAACGTTTCTTTTCAATCTGAAATTCAAGCCATTGTTTTACTTCTACACCCAGAATCCAACAATACAAAAATAAAACACAGGAACACTACACATATACCGTTCTATCATTAAGAAAATCACATAAGATAATTAACAAATCTTAACACGAATATACGATAAGGTCAATTTTTTAACAACCGGAAGGATTATGTATAATTGGAACTATAGATATATCCAATAATTTAATATAAGTAATAAAAGCAAAGTTAGTGAAGTAGGTTATAACAGGAGTACACAAACAAATAGAAGTATGTTAATAAAAAAATGAATGTACAAGTTTTTGAGAACTTAGTATGTATTCATAAAAGTATCTTCTTTAAAATCGAACGACCAGTAGAACTCTTTGAAGCACCAGGAGTGTTCCATATACCACTGCTTGTACGTGGTCGAATGGTATACTGATAATTACGGAATACATCACTAATATCAAAAGTTATCATTGATGCAGGTAGGAATTCATTTTGCCATTTCAGTTTGTTTGAATAAACATCAGACATTGCCGCTATCATTTCAGGATTTCCTTAAATGAGATTAAAAATGATGACATAAGTTGACTATTTTTCCACTCTTTAATAAATTATTAATAGAAAATTTGTGTATTTCTAATTCTGCTTCAAAAATAAATGAGTTTGTTTTATAATTACGTAATATGTATCCTAGTTTAACACTTTCCCTATTTTGTCATATATAAACACACAAAACACTGCATGAATGATTAATAAGTTTTTTGGGATAAGTGAATTTCAGCGATGCACTGACGATAGAAGAAATATACGGAGCTGATCAGTGTTAATCAGTTAATTCTGTAGTGAATGCTTTAAAGTTTGTGAATAATTTATCACACTTGGAAATAATATTACATTTGCAGCCGACCGTTGCTCCTACCTTGACGTGGCGGTCGAGCTTGTCTACCATGATGAACCAATCGAGATATATTGGCTGGAACAATCGTTCCTCAAGGTCCTACTATGCCAGGCAGGTCGGTTGAAGGGTGGTAAGACTAAAAACAGCAAACCCAAGGTCGGAAGGCGAAGTCCGTACTGCTGACTGTACAGAGGTGTGACGGCAGTAAGGTGTTTCCTTCAGACAACCGGCATAACAGCGGTGCTGCTTTTCCACAAGGAGGGTTGGGTTTAGAAAAAGTAGACACTAAAAATGCACACCTTGCCTTTTTCCACAGATTTCCGTCTCCGGCGGTAAGATCCCAACAAATACGGAGCTAACACAAAAACGTCGTGTGTGATCGACCTTAAGCAGTTGTCCCTTGGGCACTGCGGTCACGCTCCCAGGTCATTAAGATCACTTCTAATCCAATTTTCTTTTCCGGTTTTTCTAGATGAACCCTTCGACCGTGAGGGTAACTGGGAAGTGATAACTACCCTCATAACTCTAACAGCACTCAAGATCACTGTATTTATAATCAATCTCGTTCTTCAATCCCTATTATTCCTCCCACCTCGACATTCAACACTAAACTTTTTCTTTCAGTTTTTTTCTCGAGTGTCACCATGGCCGACGATTCTAGTGCACAAAACACTGCCCCAGGTCTACTAAAACCTCGCTCCAAACTACACACAGGAGCATTCAACGTACGCACACTATGTCAAATCGACCAATAGGCTTCCCTTGGCTAAAACCTTAGAATCTCGTACGATTGATGTATGCTGTGTCTCCGAAACACACATACAGGATCCCAGTGTGGTCATTCACTTGACCTCCCCGTTAACAGTCGCCTGTGTGCTGTCCGGCTAAATGGCTCCGTGAGAACTCAGAACTCGTTGCCTTTTCGTCGTTTCTGCCTACGCTCCCACTGACTGCAACCATGATGAAGTGAAAGATGACTTTTACAGAAAGTTCTCTGAGCTTCTTCAGAAAGCTAAGCGCTCAGACATAGTAGTCGTAGCAGGTGACTTTAATGCCCAGGTGGGCAGCTTAAATCAAACAGAAAGACATTTAGGTGGGTATTTTAGTATTCCGGCTCAACGAACAGATAATGGTGATCGTCTGTTGCAACTATGCTCAGACAATCGTTTATTTTTAGCAAGCACTAATTTTAAGCATAAGGAGAGATCGTCAAACATGGCGACCACCTGCACCAAACTAACGATGGACTCAGATAGACCATATTGCCATCATTGTTGGAGAGGCTCGATAGAAGATTGTCGCTCGTATTGGAATACATGATTAGACTCTGATTATGCTTTAATACGAGCACGAATCTGTTTGCGCCTCACTGGACGCAGAAAAACTACACTAAGAAGACCTATTAGGATTGAACTGAGTGACGAGAAATCCAAAAGTAAGTTCCAGGAACAACTAAGTTCACATCTACACAGTTCTGTAAACAAGACTGACCCAGATGCTGCTTGGAAAGATATACGAACAGCTGCAGGAACAACAGTAACATCTATTAGTAATTTAAACCTAAGGATTCCAAAAAACCAATGGATTTCTTTTAAGTCTGTTTCACTGATGGATTCTCGTAAACTCATCCCATCAGGCTCTGAACACGATGGAAAACGAAAGCGAACGGAACGATCGTGAGCAGTGATGGGCAACAAAAGCAAAAGAAATTGAAAAGGCAGTGGCTGTAAGCAACACCAGGCAACTTTTCAGACTAATAAAAGAAACCGAAATTAAGAAGTCAATTGTAAGCGAGGCAATCTCGGGAAAAGACGAGACTCTTATCTGCTCTCAGCCCAGACGTTTGGAACGATGGGCAGAACACTTAAAGGAGCAGTTCAGCTGGTCTTCAGCTACTGCACAACTACCCACTATTCCCTGACAGTCTGAATGGAACATTGAAGTAGGTCCTCCGACCCTATCTGAAGTTCAAAAGGCTATAAGTAATCTGAAACGAGGAAGAGCAACGGGGCCAGATGCATCGGCTCTAGAGGTCTCAGTAACATAGTATCTAAAATACTAGCCTCAATAATGATCGGGCGCCTAACTAAGACTCGTGAACTGCAAACACGAGAAAATCAGGCTGGCTTCAGACCTGGTCGTGGCTGTATCGACCACATATTCACCATTCGTCAAGTTTTAGAGCACAGACACGCTTATTGGCGTCCGACAATGATAGTTTTTCTTGACTTAAAAGCAGCATTTGACTCTGTAGACCGAGAGGTTCTGTGACAGTGTCTGTCATTGAAAGGTGTACCTGAGAAGTACATAAACCTTGTGAAGGCTCTTTACTCGAACACTACCAGTCGAGTGAGAGCTTATGGCGAACTGTCATCTGATTTTACAACCTCAAATGGTGTCCTTCAAGGCTGTCCACTATCCCCATTTTTGTTTAACTTCATTATAGACCTGTTGCTGGAAATAACTCTCTTCGAGTGAATTTCCAGGTATTGATCTCCTAGCAGGAGGTCCACTTATCGACTTAGAATACGCAGATGATATAGTCCTGTTTGGTGAAGACGCTGACAAAATGCAGAGTCTTCTGTTGGAACTCAGTAATAATGCCAGGATGTTTGGGATGCGTTTCTCCCCATCCAAATGTAAATTGTTACTCCAGGACTGGCCTGCATCAACACTTGAACTAAGGATAGGGAGTGAAGTAGTTGAACGCGTCGACAACTTCACTTATCTTGGAAGTCTGATCAGCCCTAATGGGTTGGTGTCTGACAAAATCTCAGCACGGATTCAAAAAGCTCGTTTGGCTTTTGCCAACTTACGTCACCTATGGCGAAGACGAGATATCCGTCTATCAATTAAGGGACGAGTATACTGCGCAGCAGTTCGTTCTGTTCTACTTTACGGCTGCAAAACATGGCCATAAAAAGTAGAAGATACGCGTAGGTTACTAGTATTTGACCACAGATGCCTTAAAAATATTGCTCGCATCTGCTGGGATAACCGGGTAAGTAATAGTGAGGTTAGACGCAGGGTATTAGGGAACGATGGTAAATCAGTTGATAAGGTGATGAATCTTCATCGACTGAGATGGTTGGGCCACGTGTTACGTATGCCTGAACGTCGATTACCACGACGCTCAATGCTGACTAGTATTGGCGATGACTGGAAGAGAGTCAGGGGTGGCCAAACCAAAACGTGGTATCAGTGCTTGAAGTCACTAACATCTAGTCTGAGCCATGTTGGCAGATGCAGACTACCTGGTTGGGGTCCGCGTGACTATCGTAACCAATGGTTGGAGACTCTGTGTGACATGGCTCAGAATCGATCACAATGGCGTATTTGTATACACTCTTTATCTTCCCTTAAACCTTGAGATTAAAATTGCTTCATATCTGCCTTTCTTCCTGTAGTATATCTTTATATACAACCTTTATTTTATATATTACCACCACTAAATTAACTACTTTTATGAATTCGGTGTTCATCGTGTTGTGCTAACGAGATATGGCAACTTGGACCGATGCATAAATGTGCCTGGTCCTACGTTGTAGCTGACTGACTGACTGAGATATTAAAAGTTTATTTTCAAGTTTTATATGTGTGTGAAATGTGACAGCTTTTGTTGACACATAATCGTGCTACGTCCTATAACTCGTTAGGCTGGTGGGACCTATTAATTATTGAGGTGACTTTATCTGTCGTTCAAAAACCGTTTCATAGTAATTAAAACAAGTTAATAAAAATCAGGGGAATGTAGGCTTATACCTTTACGACACCAACCGGGAACTTTCATATTTGGTTCATCGTCATCTGATTCTGAATCGGAATTCAACTGTGATATATCGAATGACTCACTGAAATCATGTGAAAAAATATTGGTTATATAACATTTAAAATCTATTTACATTGTGGTTTGAATTTAGACTGTAAAATTATAAAATAAACACAACCGGAAATTGAGTACATTGCAGTACGGGAGGTAAAGAGATAATTCCTAAGTGTAAGGACAACCAGGTTAATAAAATCATTGAAATAAACAAACCAGTTTACGAACTCGAGTCTTTTGATCGCCTTGACTAACAATGCAACCATTTCTGACCTCAGTTTCTCTCCCAAATGGAAAGTACTGCTTATGGACTGATCTGCACCAATACGTGGATGAACTACAGGCACTTAAGTAGTTGGGCACACTAACTACTTGACTTAGAAGTCTTATTAGCATTCGTGGGTTGATATCTGACAAAGTTTAGTTCCAGAAAGCTCAGCAGGCTTTTGCCAACTTTCGTTGCTTATTGAGTAGACGAGGTCCTATCTACTAAGCAGAAGATAAGTATACTACGTAGAACTTTACTGTTTGAATTTATGGATGTAAAACGTGACCTTTAAAAAGAGAAGACACTCGTAAATTTTTAGCGTTCCATTACAGGTGCTTTCGGAGCACTACCTATTTAATTTAAGACCATTGAATGAGTAATGCTGAAATCAGACATAGGGTGCTAAGCAATGATGACAAACCAGTTGACGAGATAGTTATATGGTATGAATCAGAATCGACTGTAATGTGGTAAATCCATTCATTCGTTGTCTTCCCTTAGAACTTGAGCCCCGAAATTTCCTAATTGCTTTTCTCTCAAAATCTAACCTCTTTTGCTACTATCGATACTACTCTGGGATTTTATTTGGTAATTTCATCTCGTATGACAACCTGAACCAATGCATGTACGCGCCAGGTTCTATGATCGTTATGACAATGTATTAATTCGAGTTATCGTACTAAATAACTGCATAAAAATATAGTTTGAGAAGAGTGACCTAATAACAAGTAGTTGTTTAAAAATCTACACATCTCATTGAACGAAGCGATCGTATGCTTGACCCCCAAGTAGATATCTTGCCGATGCTACATCTGACATACAAGGTTTTCTGAATTTTCATGAGATTTTTTATTGACGGCCGATTTATTGAGAATAATGAATTTCCTCACATAAATTGTATAGCGTTCTATATATATATATATATATATATATATATATATATATATATATATATATATATATATATATATATATATATATAGAGAGAGAGAGAGAGAGAGAGAGAGAGAGAGACTTACTTGACAACTGGGCTGCATATTAGTGATACTTTTTGAGTTGTGATTACTTTCTCATGAGTTTGCAGTTTTGTTGGTTGGATTGTATTGAGTTTAGAAACCGGCTGGGGTTTGGGGCAGGTGTTCGGTTGAGTTTGCTTGATAATTGTAACAGGTTTATTTTGTAATTTTAACGTATTATGATCCATAGGATTTAAAGTTACATGACACTTTTTCATTACAGTAGTAGGCTGCAATGGTTTAGCACTTACGTTACTTGGCTGAACGGAAGTAACAGAAGTATTGCTTTCCTATAATTAAACCAGCAAAATCAATCAAAGAATTTTAGTGATAAACAATTAGAATGTTTATTTTAATTTTGCCAACTAATCATGTACGACTTGTATCCCAGAATAACAGTTGATAGTATAATACTATTAGTGTAGCAAGTCGTAAAGTATCAACCAGTCATGCTTTAGTACCGTTAACAATTAGCCAGTTGATGACACAAATATTCGAATAAACGAAATAGTCAAAATATACACCATCTTATGCTGTCAAACTGAATGTATATACAGGTAATTCCTCGTAATATACGTATGTTTGGCATGTGTTGATAATCACAGATGGGCAACAAAAGAAATATGCTATCTTTAAATGAGAAAACGAAATTGTGAACAGAGTGAAAGGATGAGGAGCATGGTTCTTAAGGAGAAAGAGAACAAAAGTCAAAGTTAACAGGAGTAATATATATTATGGAAAACAATGCAGTAAAAATACAACGGGAATTTTTCCACTTTAGGCAGTCCTGTTTGGTTTTTTATGAATATAGAACACAATAGAAGGAAAATCATTGACTTTTATTCTAAGCTATGAATGGTAATATTCCAAGAAACCGAGTTACACCATCTCTCGGGCACGAACCAGGGAGTTATGACGAGTTACAGATGCCAGGACAGCTTTCTTTCATACCACGGGACCATATCATAAGCTTAACACTTCGCTTTTCACAACTGGTCTCAGGGTCGGCAAACAATCTACGATATAGAAGCTACACAGATGACATTCTGAAAATATGTTCGAACTACTGGAGCCGACGTTTCAGGATATTGAATTGTCATAACTGTCCCCAAACATAGCTAAACCTCTAGATTACTAACATAGCGTTGCAACTGTCTCAACAATTCTTCGGAGACAACGATGACTGAACACAGAGAGTTGTCGGATATTAACTCGAAGGGGTCAGGTTTTATAAACCCTACAAAACGACACTTTACATGCAGATTAATGTCAAGATGCTGCAGTTGGGCATAAGCCGCCCAGGCCTTTACTATATGTAGGTTAGTCCCATCACTCAAGTTACCAACAATATTCACCACATTCTTTCGCCAGTCTTGTAGGAGTCCGTTGCATTCAAAAGGTTCAAATTACATCTCTTACATGTGAACACTAATTGTTAACTGACTAAGTCAAATTTGCAGAGCTTGAGTATCGTCGCATATAAAAACGAGATTAGTGATTTCAGGTAACTGACCCATAACACCACTGCTTACTTTTATCAGAGCTATTTCAAAGATTTCAACGCTGGCACAGTTGAAAATGAGTGGTGAGATTGGCAAACTTTGCCTAACCGAACTACTGAAATGAAACAGTGGAAAAAGGTGGTTGTAATGCCTTATTCTGATATCAAGAAGCAATAATTGTTGAGTTGAAATAAGTAGGAAGGAGCCCTAACATTTGGCGGGGTGTGAAGATAGGATAAATACATCCACAACCGGAAAGAAAACCAGCCCGTCCCTCTCCAGTCAGTTCTTTCTTCAATGGATTTTGAACACTCTCAGAAGCATGACGGAAGCCAATAGTTTGAAAGTATTTGGAAGTAGATTTATCACTGATAGCTGTTGTACAGATAAGTTTTTCTTGAAAACGGAGACGATCATCACTTTATTCCAGAACGTCGGAACATTCTTTGTTTGTCGAACCTTACCAAACAAACCTGGTTAGTTCTCTGACCAGAAGTTCCCCGCCATCCTTAAAAAGACTTGACGATAAGTCGTCTGAGCTTGGTGTTTCGGGAGCTGAAGCTCCTTGCGGACTTTTGCTTTGTTAGTTTTATTTTTATTTATTTAAACACATAAATATTGGTACAAGGAAGCACCAGATAAATATGCGCCATACAAATCTCTTTCGATTTGTGTGAGGGCTGAGATACTGCTCAGGTGCCCGAACTGAAGCTCCGACCATCAGACTTCTCGGTTCATATGCATAATTTCCTGATGTAAGAATCTACGTTTATGTATAACATCGCGGTTAGTCGTATACTAACGTAACTTAAAATGTAAGGAGCCTGCGGAAACCGGTTAAGGTGCTCTGTATGATCAGTTAGTAGAATGATGGGCAAAATGTTTCAAACACACTGTGAATTGATTAATGTTATCATGAAAATGATAGTTCTTCTGAGCAAAGTAGTAGTCTGGTATATTAGTCTTGTTATAAAACATAATATAGCACCAATATCAAGGCATAAGAGTGAATGGTTACTGTCGATCTAAAAGTGTATGCACGAAATCCACCCAAACCAAGGTATAATTCTTATGCTTGGCTTTATGAGTGCTACTGATACCATCCGACTCCTGAAACTGAAGTAGGTAGAACGTGTCTCAAAACAACGGCACAGTAAATTAAAATTGAACATCTTGACCACTAGGGAACAGCTACCCTCAAATTACGAAGTTTCACACGTCTCGCCATTATCCAGTCACAGAAATTAACCCACATCACCTTCTTTCACTTGAATAGCGCTGTTCACTCTCAAATAACCGACTGAGATACGAACGTTTTATTTGAAAAGTGTATTTATCACTTAAATCTGTCTGTAGTTTTCCTAGGGTTACTGCCGATCCCGAGCCTGGTTAAAGGAAGGTTAAGCGTGGGGTCAGAGACACAATCCAGTAGAAAACAACCTTGCTAAAAAGCGTCGACTGGAATAAGCAATTTAAACTCCGTCCTCGGAGTCAAATAATGACGCCACTTGGCGAAAGTCACGATTCCGAGGCCCCTTCCAACAACCAGACCGACAATTATTATACGTACATGGTATGTCCGGATAGCGTGGTAGACCGGGATGACTAATCAAACAGCTATAAGAATGAGGAGATACAACAGGGAAGTGATCAGAACCCATTAAACAAAAGATTACATTTGGGAGAGATGCTGCTGCAGTCTGGCCGCGAAAATGCTACGCACACTCAGGGAGTTGGTCTGATGCTGTTCAAAAAAGCACGGAAAGCACTTACAAGATGGAAATATCATGAGTCCAGGGTCATCAAAGCGTTCTTCAGAAAAGGGAGGGAATCAATGTTATCTAGTGCTAAGCGCCCACCGATCGTAAAAATCAGTTTCATGACAGGCTATAGGCAATCATGAAGAAGTGCCCACAAAGAGATCAGACCATCCTCATCGGAGACCTAAACGCCCGAGTTGGAATGGGCAACGCCAAATTTAGAGATATGATGATGGATTAATAGAAGGGGATGAGACTGGTGAGAGATTCGCAAATTTATTTGAAGTCCACAAAGTTGTTATTGGTGGCACTATATTCCCTCACAAACACATACATAAGGTACTTGGGTCTCACCGGATCATACTGCAGAGATTCAGGTCGATCATATTTACATCACCAGAAAATTTAAAAGGTCAATGGAAGACGTAAGAACAGAGAGTGGAGCTGACATAACTTCAGATCACAACCTGGTTGTGACCAAGATGAAACTGAAGCTAAAGAAACACTGGACAACTGGGAAAACAGCACTACAAAGGTTCAATACAGCCTTCCTTCGACATACTGACAAACTCAACGAATTCAAGATGGCTCTCAGCAACAGGTTACAACATCCACTCAAAGAAGAGCAGACTACTATGAAAGACAACTGAAAAGCGATCAACGTGTCAGGAGGTTCTGAACTACAAGAAGCATCATCATATAGAATGGATCTCTATCGAAACACTAGACAGGGTTCAAGAAAGGAAAAACAAGAATACAGTAATTAATAACAGCTGAACAAGAACAGAGAAAATCAAGGCACAGATTGAATACACAGGAGCGAACAAGAGAGAGAAGAAGATCATTAGCACTGACAAGCAGAAATATGTGGAAGAGCAACGACAGCGAGAAACGTTGCATGTGAAGGAAATATGAGACAGCTATGTGATGCAACGAAGAAAGTAGCAGGGAAATATAGTAAACCAGAGCGACCAGTCAAGAACAAAGAAGGAAAGTCAATCACTGAGATTCAAGAACAGAGAAACAGGTGGATAGAACAATTTGAAAAACTCTTGAATAGCCCAAACACATTGAACTCGCTGAATAATGTAGCAGCACACACAGGCATCCCGATCGCGGTCTCCCCACCAACAATCGGAAAAATCAGCGTGGCCATCAGATGAATGAAGAGTGGAAAAGCAGCAGGATCAGACAACATATCAGCTGAAGCACTGAAGTCAGACATAGAGGTCACTGAAAAGATACTCCACACACAATTCAGGAAGATTCGAGAGGAAGAACAAGTGCTGACAGACGGGAAAGACGGATACCTCATCAAGATACCAAGGAAAGTAGATCTGAGCAGTTGTCAGGACTACAGAGGCTTCACATTACTATCTGTAGCAGGAAAGATCTCCAACAGTGTTGTTGAAGCGAATGGGAGATTTTGTGGACGCTCAACTTCGAGATAAACAAGCTGGATTCCGTAAGGATCGATCGTTCACAGACCAAGTCACAACACTAGGGAACATTGTTGAAAAGTCAACTAGATGGAATCAAATTCCTTCACTATGAGGAAGCGTTTGGTAGTGTGGATATGAGAACCTACGGAACCCTATTCGACAATATGGTGTATCTGAGAAGATGGTCAACATCATACGGAATTTATACGGCGGACTACACTGCAAAGACGTGCATGGAGGACAGATCGCAGACGCACTACAAGTGAAGACTGGTGTCAAACAAGGCTGTTTACCCCCTCCGTTTCTCCTTGTTCTGGTGGACGATTGGACTATAAAGACTTCCACACCTGATGGGAAGCACGGAATACGATGGACAGGTTGGATACAACTAGACGATTTGGACTCCGCAGATGACCTAGCTTTTCTACTGCATACAGAGCAACAAGTGCAGGCGAAGACAGCCAGTGTAGTAGCAGGTTCTGAATTAGTAGGCCTCAACAAACAGAATGGAAACACCAAGATCCTCAAATACAACACGGAGAACACCAACCTAATCACACTTGGTGGAGAGGCTCTGGAAGATTTGGAGACCTTCACCTACCTGGGCAGCATCATCGATGAACAAGGGGGATCGGATGCAGACATAAAGGCCAGAGTTGGCAAAACCACGGCAACATTCCTACAGTTAAATAACATATGGAACTCAAGACAACCGTTAGCCAATATCAAAATCAGGATATTCAACACGAACCTGAAGACAGTTCTACTGTACACAACTGAAACTTGGACAACTACCACAGTTATCATCGAAAATGTACAGGTATTTATAAACAATTGTCTACACAAGGTACTCAATGTCCGTTGAACGGATACCATTCGCGACAGCCTACTGTGGGAGAGAACAAGCCAGGTTCGTGCTGAAGAGGAAATTAGGAAAAGATGATGGAGGTGGATAGGACATACATTAGGAAAATCATTAAACTGTATCACGAGGCAATCGCTAACTTAGAATCCTGAAGAGAAAAGGAAAAGAGGAACACTAGGGAACAAATTTGGTTGAAAATTGAAAGCAGACACCAAAAGAATGAATAACAACTGGAAAGGATTGTTCAGGACAGAATTGGATGGAGAATCCTGATGATTTGCTTGTGCTCATTCACGCGGGGCTATGGTGGTAAATTAGCATGTTTTTATCACTTCAATCACTAAATCCTAAAGTGCCCAAAAGATATAAGCAGTTAAAAATGTCAAAAGCGATAAGATAATCCTAGTAGTTTAGTAGACAAAAATTATCAAGTACTCACTTTCAATTGAAGATGATTGCCCTGCAGCATTTGTTGATATCGTTGTTGGACAGCAAGAAAGCGTTCTTCATTCGCCTTTTTACGAGCTTCCATTTTTTGCTTCTGAGCGTCCTGGAAAGCTCGCAGGCGTTCTTCTCTCTTCTCCATTTGTTCGATAAATACTTGCCTTTTGGCTTCAATACGCTGCTCTTTATCAGATAAAACGGAACCAGATCGATTCTTGTGCTTATTAGAGTAGCCATTTAAAGATGTATTAACGGATACTTTTTCGTTGATGGAATTTAACTTTGAACCTATATACGAGCAACAAAAGTAACAATATATAATAACGCCGAAAAAACCATGTGAAATCAATTTAATGTCAGTTCAATTTATTCGCATGTGTGGTATAACCATATCACGGCTCGAGAATTAGTATTTCTTGACAATAGTAAGGAAATGAAAGAGCATACTAACTAACATACTTATTGCACATTTTGATGCATAAATCTATTGATATTTTTAGCCTTTCTTCCTGGCGTCGAACAATATCGGTCTTCGTTTTCGTTGTATAATAGTAAGTAGCAGTTTTTCCCCAATCACGACAAATAGCCATAACAGTGGAAGTACAAGCATTTTCCCAAGTTACTACAATTTTTGTTGGATTGTATGTAAATAAATAGTCAAATTAGAGAAAAACAAGCTGTTTTGAACTTACGTTACATAACTACTAGTTGATTTCTAATAGTTCTCAGTAGTTTTTTAATGATTTGAATAGTGGTTAATATTGGAAACCAGTATGAATTTCGTCCAATTCGAAACCTATCAACAATAAAATTTCAACCCCGACTTTTATTATTTTTGCCTAATATTTTTACAGCATTTATCATATTATTTTATGTGCCGTATATGAACATTGTCAGGATTGATTTGATAAACAATGAACTTAACTCTGTAAGCTAAGATATCTATAAATATTTTATCACAACCGATGCCATTTGTATAAAACATACGGTTTTTACATAGAATAAAAGGTCAAAGTAATTTGCTGGGTATGTGATAGAAAATTCGAAAGGCTTACCTGTTCTTGGTTTTGATGCCTGAATGGGGTGATTTAGAGAATTGAGTCTCGAAACACCACCCAATCTTTCGGTAGATGAAAACAAACGCGATTTGCCACAAGTACTGGCAGTCTTGTTTTCAAGAGAAGTAATTCTCTTATCAGTTGCGGGAACTGGAAGTCTTGGAATATGTTTCGTTTGAGTTTCAGTTGAAAACGTGGAAGGACATGGTAATTTTTGTATGTTTGATAAGTCACCAAACGGTGATTTGCTTACAAATGTACTATTGTTGTTATTTACATTACTTCGTGGAGGAGCACTTGATGAATCGGAAAGAGAAGTAGCTGACTCGAGGCTAGGAGACTTTGTGGTATTAGTGGAGGATGATGCTGTAGTTGTAGGAGCATGACCTAAAGGCATAGTCAAATTTAGTAACTGTTCATCTTTCGGTGGCGCCTCATCTTCGGCATCATGTTTTGACTCTGTAGTCAACCCTATCTGAAAGATAAAAATACCACATAATAGTAACAGCAAGATATGAAGCCGTCACTAAATGTAGCTACAAGACATACTATAATTTAGGTTTACGCAGCTTTAAATTTACTAACGCCTAGATAGGAATTAGACTAAACACAAAACCATCAAGATTAATTTCAACTACATAGTTTATTATCGTATGTGAAACAACGTCAGAGTCCAATTTTTTGGATCATTGGGTAACGAGTTCAAACCCAGTACAAAAACTTTAATTCTGAGTGAAACTTAATGACGTACATAGCTGTGTGCTGCACTGCGGATCATGTATTGTATGTAGGATGTACAATAGTATTAACTATTAAGTGGCTGAGGTTAAAGAACGATTCAGAATCGGTTGCAGTAGTGAAGACACTTATCTTCCCCCAAAACCTGAGATTCATACCCTAATCCCTTTTAAACAAATGTTTCCTATGTATAATCTTCATTACTATCATTGATCTTGTTATTTTAATTGCTTTTTCATTCAACTTATTAATTTCATCTTGGTGTTGCAACTTGAGGAGACCCACATTTATACCAGGTTCTAAAACGATTATGAATAAATATTCAACAGAAGGGATGATGGAAATTAAGTACATTGAACTTTAGTACACCAGAAATAAGATTCCAGGAAACCTTTCCGCACATAATCACTAATCGCGATTTCTAAGCGATAGAATGTATGTTAGTTTATGACCAAAGTACCATAGTTGTAATCTCTTTTTCCTTTTGATTATCGTGGAACTGTATGGTATATCAAGCACTCACGATGGAAAAAAGTTTGTGAATCGTAAGGTTACATGCGTGCAACCAAGGGTCTTAGTGGAAGATCTGAAACCTGAACACAAGTCACATAAATGTTGAATGTATTACACCTACTATTTTGACCCTGTGTAAAATCATTTTATTATTAGTGGAAGGTTTAAGAGGCTGGCAACAAGAGACTGGGATAATTGTGACTTCAAAAAATTATACAACAGATTTTCACATTATGGTATAACTAACAGGACTACAAGACAGTGAATGGTGGCATCGTAATAAAAAATGTAGTAGAGCATGAAAGACAAGCATTCTGAGAACCAAGTATGAAAACAAACAAGAGAAAAACTTCTACCTTATTAAAACTGATACGTTTGACGAGTGGTTGGTAATCTGAAGTATCCATCGATAGTTTTCGTTTTTTCTCTGACAACTTTTGAGCAGATATTTGTATTTCCCCAGTTCTGGAGATATTAAGTTCACTCTCATTAATTTGATCACACTTTCTTTCCTAATAAAGTATGAAATAAGAATCTAAATAGAAAAATCCGTATTGTAAGATGATGTTTAAATATATAGAAGTGCACTTCTTGCGTGACAGCTAATGATAGTAATTGATTTAATAAACCAGACTAGGTAATGAGGTTCAAACGTAACGTCTAGTAGTTGAGAACCAAGATCTTTAACTACTAAACTACCACGTCAGCAATGTTAGTCAGTAGTATGAGCCTCAGTATGGGGATAACTGAGACCTACTGGTTGAAAATGAAATACCGAAATCAACTAACCAAAATTAGGATATCATCAAAATTTCACATTAAATTACGCTTACCTCAACATTGCTAGTTCGCTTGCTTTGTGGTTCAGAGTTGGAAATATTAGCTGAAAACAGACATTCTTTATCTGTAGGACAGAAAGTTGTTTGAAGGAAGCTTGGATCCAAAAGCTGGGGCTTATGGCTCTTAAGGTCGCACATATTGCCACTCGGCTGAAAGATCCGGGAAGCAAAGCAAAAAAAGCTGTGCTTAAAAAATCAGTTATTAGGAGGAATAAGTAAATGTAAGTGCCTTCATGACCATTACCTCTTGCACTGTCTGAATTAATAAATTACAGCGATGTTAACGCATCAGATTTCCCGGAATTATTAAACGTCATAGAATGGTTTGTTTACAGGAATCAATTAACCAGAACACTGAGGCAAAACCAAAAACAGCTTGTACTTGCACATTATTCGGAATTTTGTAACAGGATTTTTGATGTGAATACACAAATCTATACCCTAGGGTTTATACTTTGGTCACTTACCATGAAATCTGAAAGTCTACAGTCAACCTTGACGTAGTGCTAAGTGAGAACTCTATGGCCCAGGAAACTCTGAGTGATGCTCAAATTTTATGATGTAAGACGTCAAACCATGACGTCAACTACAATAAGGATTGTGATACTCTCATTTGAACCTCAGGTTATTTATTCACACAGTAAGGATTTTTAGATATGCACTTGGAGTATTAACAAAACAATGTTAGGATATCAAGAGTTAAGATGCATAAATCCTTGGATGAGCACCAAATTCGCTGAAGAAGTCAATTCAATGAACGATACATATACATAAATATAGTGACTGAACATAAGTAATTTTAACCTCATTGTTTAAGGGAAAGCAACGAGTGTATACACCTGCGCCATTGTAAGAAATTCTGAGTCATGTCACCCAGTCTCCAACCACTGGTTATGATAGTCACGCAGACCCCATTCAGGTATTCTACATCTACCAAAATGCCGCAGACGAGTAGTGATTTTATGGACTGATACTACGTTTTACTTTGGCCGCCCCTAACTTTTTTCCATCCGTCTCCAACACTAGTGAGCATTGCGCGCCATGGCACTCGTTGGTCGGGCATGCGTATTACATGGCCTACTCAGTTGATGAAGATTTACAACCTCACCGATTGATTTACTAACATTTCCTAACACCCTGAGTCTAACCTCACAATTACTTAAAATTCACTAAATGGCATGTTCTAATTAGTACTTGAAAGTCTAACTTACATTTTTAAGTTCAGTTTGCTTCGGACTATCTTTCGCACCACGCAACTGCTTACTCAACTTTCTGGAGTTCTTTAGCAATTTAGCCGGCGATTTATGCGAGTCCACTACCTGGTTTAATTTCGAACGGTTTAAAGGACTGTGTTCACATCTTGCGGAGTGGATGCTCGTTCTCACTTTTCGCTTTTGACTAACGACTGGCTTTAACAGGGGGTCTTCAGTTTTTTCAATCCTTTAGCACTAGTTAATTAATTATGAAGAACTTACTGTTTCTCAAGGTCTTCACTCATAACACCATCATCCACGCAGGTTTCAATGCCTCCCAAAGCAGCAGTAATTTCGTTGAATGTCGCTTGAATGTTTTGTTTTGCATCATTTATGATATTCTTGAGAATATCTTCAGTCAGAAGGAACTGTTGGTACAGCTCCATCGAAGGAATTCATGCGGCGCGGCGATTCCAAGTACTTTACAATCGCAAGTTGTTCAAACACATTCTAATTCAATCCTCAGCTTACAGTCACAATAATAAAAAAAATTGCCTTATAAATATTTCTTACAATTTATAGGAATTTCAAAATCCAGTCTGCCTTTCAGAAAACAGTATTAGTTAACTGCCCACAACATATGTAATTAGCTGGTTAGCACTCCACATTAATACTCATAACTTTTGTTTTAACAGATCCATCTCTAGCTTCACATGCCCAGTCAACTATCATTGTCACATTATTTCGGTATGAAAGAGTAATTTCTGCAGTTCCGCTCACGTGCTACTTGTCGTCAAATGAAATGTGCTATCGCCTATATAGTGGAATCGATATATCTAGGCTTAATGCAGAAATTTACTATCTGGTTGACTTCTGTGCATTTGAACGGTTTTAGATCATAGCTTTTGGCAAATGCTATCAGTCTATCTTAGGGTTCATGCTACATCCGAAATATTGTTACGTCAGCTTTACTTTTATCTTTCAATTCAACCAAATATCGTATAATTATAATTCCCTTTTTTAAACAGGTTCACACTGATATATTTCCAGAAATCGCATTGAATTATTACTCCTTGACATTTATTATGCATTCAGTTTTATTTATGATGCGAGTTAATGCTGATATAATTTATAAACTGATCAAATTTACACTAAACTATAACTTCAGTATGTTCGTTCGTTCGAAACTGTAATAAGCTGTTAGAAGTTCAAAGATCAGTTGTAGACCATCAGCGTTGGTGATCTGTGTCGAATGAATGGACGCCTACTCGAGTTAGACGAGGACGGTGTGACGAACCAGCTAACTTCGAAGTTACACCTTGCAGTCAGCATCTAACGTGGATTACCCCTTCGACGTACTAAAGTACTCTGGCTGATTTGAAGACTGTATAACACAAAGGGCGTGATTACTTAAATATATTAGTTAGAATAAGTTCAGAGATGTTAGTGAGACCACCACCACATGGGCCAGTTCATGGCGTATGATTAACTGATGCGGTATTGTAGTCCTTGACTTTCACAGGGTTCCATGATCTGTTCGGTATTCAATGACCCAACTGACGGATGATATGGCTAGGGCTCAATGACATTTCACTGCCCGTACACTGTAACTAGGCTGATCCACAGAATTAAAAAGCTACCTTATTACAAGAAACTGGCATTACTAGATTGATCTCCCTTGTCATATTGAAGGACTAGAGGTGACTTTATTACAGTTCCTTAAACCACTTAATCATAAATTTGCTTTCGACATGTCCTCATCTACCTTATAATTCAAAGCAGAATCTTCGAGCACAATTTATGAAAGTTCACAGGCCCAGTATAAATGATTTGTCAGCTGTCCATCGACTTCTCCATCGAATCACCAATGAGTGAAACCCATCACCTCAAAAGATGAGTAACTGTTCACCCAGCGTCACAAGAAAACAGATTGAGATAGACCACCATAGCAAAAGTTATGAGTTGAGACTGATGGATAAAAAAAATTAATGTTCATCTGAGATCTTCCTAGCAATCAAGTGCTGTTCAGTAAACAGTATCGATAATTGCTGTAGACAAGAATATATATCAGAGAGCAAATCACAGGTGGAGGAGAATCCTAGTTAATATTTGTTGCATGTACATTTCTTTATCTCCATATTGAAATATGTGCAATGTTATCGGTCACCTGTTTTTATAAATACTGTGAAATCAAAGGGGTGCTTTTATACATGTACTGCTGTTGCCGCAGTATCCCACTTAATAGTTCACGTTGCATGAAACACCCATACTTATATACGCTGAGCGACACTGGTCTATGTTCCCGTATTGTCGCAATCACGATGATATTTAAAACAAATATTGTTTACAAGTAATAGTTAAACTACATATTAGGTAAGTAAAAACAATAAGCACAAATATGTTTACGGATGTAAATACAATCTAATGGAATATTTAATAGCCCTAACGGTTGGCTGAGGAAAGTAATATAGACTATATTCAGTACTGTTTATGGTTGCATAAGTTTACACAAGATAAGGAAGTGATAATGTTAGATCGGCATACAATAAACTCTATCAGAGCCTCCAGAGAGGCTCATAAAGAGACCAACCAATCAGCGATCAGTTAGAAGCTATGCTACTAAAAATGCTACTAAAATAACAAGGTCCTGATTGGCTGTTAACATATTGCTACTATGGAATCTCAAGGTCTTTCTAATTACTATAAAACCCCTGTTTTTTCTGTACATAATCGAACCTTGTAGTAAAGTGATTTCTCTGTTAATCGTGTCTTCTTACTGGTCTTCCAAGTCGCTGAGTAGTGCTAGCCTGGGGTTATCCGAATAGCTTGGAAACAGGTATAGTTCCCGTAGAGAAAAATATATATGTAGAGTGACATTTTGGATATCGTACTGAGCCAAGAGGATAGATAAATTTGAAGCTATTTCAACATTAATGGTGGAGCTTATCATGTCCTGTTGACTTCATTGTATGCATCTTGAGTATAATGTCGTGAATAGCGTCCCTAATGGGCAACGAATTCTGTGAAACTGATTCAGGATCTAGTTCTACATCGTACGTAGGGATATTCGCGAAGTAACCATCTGCGGCCTCCGTTAGTTTCGATTGTCCATTCCCATTGTATGAGAATCCATTAGCTTGGTTTTATCTTAGGATACTAAAGTAGTCATTTTAAAGACTTTATTACTACTTCAGCAAGTTACATTTCTCATTTTCTCTGAGTGTAACGGATTGTGATGATTTGTTGTTGACCGATCATTATGTCGTCCGCCCTGAGATCAAGGACGAACTCTCAGAGTTTTTACCTCAATAAGTACCACGTTTCACAGAGAAGCAGAGGAAAGTAGTGTCTTTTCTTCTTTAGAACTGTTAAATGTACGCACACTTCAGTAAATTGGCCGTATAACTTACGGAGAATACTCAAAGCTTCTACAACCGTACTCAAGTTGAGTATTGAGAAAAATTAAAGCGTTCTACAAAAATTTTGATATCTTAACTTCTACATTTCAGTCAACATCACACTAATCCTTAGGATATACATTTATGTACCAATGTCTTCACAGCCCGTATGTTGAGTGTATTTTTCAAGATTGACAAGCATGAGGATTATTCTTTCAGTGCAACACGGTTATAGACCCGTCAGTCTAATTTCTCTGCCTTTCATCTCTGATATTAGTATGTGACTGGAATTGTAATGACAGTGAGATTTGGGTATCAACTGTTTCGCTGCCATTTCCTCCAGTAGACCATGAGCATTGGCATATAATATATTCTATTCCATGAGATAATTTCTCTTCACCAGCAGTGGCAATTACAGAAAAAATCATTTAAACTCAGACTCCCTCGCGAAGTACCATACCATTTATGCATTTTCATTTTTTAACAGTCACTTAATGAGGTTAGAAAGAGTATGGTAGTTGTTGACTCAGGATTCGTTCCCGTGAAACATCTTAGCAACAAGCCAATCGTGATAGTGCGTACAAAAGTAGCTTTCAAAAGACGTCTTTCATTGCAAAGCGTATGAGTGGAAACAACGTCATCTCTGCATGTAGCTCAAGGGTTAATCAAAATACTAAAATAAATAGATATACTGTTCTGAAAAACAACGAAAACCAGGTGTTCATTAACTGAAAAACTTCCATTTTACCTTGACTGAATAGTCTGACGTCTAAAGTTCGACCAATAGTGTGCACAGTGAGGTCAAAGTTAAACAATCCACTTGACACTAAATCAGAATGAAGGGGAAATTATCATTTCCCCTCTTTTTATGAGCACTGGAGGTCGACTTGCTTTGTTCTGTGTTTTTCCACAGGCCTTTTAGAGTCGCTGCAGTATTTAATCCTTTTTTGAGTCGAGATTCAACGTTTTATGTGATTCTCAAAATTTTGGGGCTACTTTTTTCAAATAAGCTGTAATTCCTCGATTTTCGCCGCTACTGCTCAGGTCAGTGTATTCCTACAGGTATGCTTATATGTTGGTTCATTTTATTTAGAGTATTTTGTGAAGATATCAGACACCAGCGTAGTTGTTTATCACCCAAGGTCAATGTTACTGCAGCCTGAAATTTTCCACCTGTTCTCATACTCGTTTACTTGTGTCGCTGGTGATGTCATCGGAAATCTTAAAAAAGGAAGATTTCACATTCGTCATCCCTCTTTGCATTAGGACCTTGTTAAGTCAAGGAATCTAACTAATACTGAGTGTCTAGTTGTTTTGAATACCAGTAATATATTCTAAAGGATCTTGGGACCCAGACATTTAACAATCTGGGACCTAGTCAGAAATGCTATCGATCTCTAGTGGCATACTCGTGTTCCATCATAGGTGTATAAAGGGCATTGCTCGCATATCATGAAAGATCCGAGTTAGCAGCTATGAGATTAGGCCTAGAGTGCTCCATATAAATGGCATCTTTACCAACGGGGATGGTCAGCAAGTGTATTATGCATGTCCATCTAATAAAATAGAACTAAAGACATTTCACTGATTAAAAACTGTTATATTGATTTTTGACAACTCCACTGCGTTTTGGGATGTGCTTGTTGCACCCACCCTCTGAATTTGTTTGTTTTTATCTCAAGGTTTGGACATTATGGCTACACTTTAACAATGTTTCGTTATTTGATATTTTTTGCTTTGAAACTTAAAAACTGAATAATGATATCTGGGTAGATTACTTGTTATTTGAAAACTAACTCTGATGCCTAGTGTAAATATTGTCCCTAATATTATTTGGGATCGTAAGTTACAAGTAGATCCATCTACCGTGCTGCAATAAAGCAAAAGAGTAAAAGCTTGGGCGTAAGATCTTGTAATAGTTTAGCTTCGTTAATCGATCACCTTGATAACCGTTATTATATAAATCCCAACGGTGTTTGCAATCAGAAGGCAATAAGAAGCGGTGACTACAGTTTATTGGCGGACAGCACAGATAACAAAGTTATAAGCACATCAAGCAAATTTGTAGAAGAAAGAATGTATGTGAACGAGCTAATACAGAGGTGAATTTATGGCCGAATCA